AAGCTTCATAATACAATCTTTTACTGAGACGAGAAAGAGTAACAATTCTATTCCTATACAGCTTATATTTTGAGATATCTCCTGAATAAAAGAGTCTATTCTTTATTTTGATAGATTTACGTAGGCCCTTAGTTATCCACGGTTTGAAAATTGTTTAGCCTTGCGCCTAGATAAGATTTTGAGAGGAGCGTGTTTATTAATGAGCTTGTTAAATTTATTGTAAAAGGAAGAAAAGCATTTGTCTACAGATCCATATGTCATTGAGTTATCCCAATCAGTATCCAAGACATCATTAATAAAGCATTCTTCAGAGAAGTTGGAATAATCGCGAATTTTATGTTTAGCAGTAAAATTTTTTGGTATAAGACTGTGGATAAAACAAAATTGGGAGTAGTGATCACTAATGTCTGACACGATATTTCCACCTGAAATTTTATGATCAAATCTATTCAGAAATATATTATCAATGAGTGTGGCAGAATTATTGTAGACTCTAGTTGGTTTATCAATTACCGGGAAGAACGAATAACATTGTAAAGATAACAAAAATTTTTGGGAGTAATCGGAAATTTCAGATTTGAGGAGATCAATATTGAAATCGCCCATAAGATAAACAACTTTATCAGAGGAGCTAAGTTTTTCTAAAGTAAAGTCAACATAATGGAGGAATTGTTCCGGATCATTATGCTGCCTATAAATCACTCCACAAACGATATTTTTTACTCTTTAGGGATTCAATTTCGATCCATAAAGCCTGAAAAAGCGTCTTTAGATGTTCTCTCCAGAACCTTATATTTCAAACAATTATTAATGTACATTCCAACACCTCCACATGATAGAGGTGTTGGGACATATTCAAACTGATAGTTTGGTATGCAGGCATTGAAATCTAGCCCAGATGAATTTGTAATTTTTGTTTCTGTAATACCGATTACACTGAATTGGTAGTCAAGTTCATCTAAAAGATGGACTTGAAAATTATCAATGTTTTTCCGCAAACTTCTTACGTTAGTATGAAGCATAGAGAAAGGACATTGACTATCTGATTCCAACAAAGACTCTTTAAACATAGAAAAACTATAGGGTGAGAAATATTTACATCTAATTTGTTGCATGCTTAAGTTTCTGTCGGGATTTAATGTTGATTCGGTATTTAAGCGAAACAAATCTAAATCATAAATACTATGAAGTTTGTCTAAGTACTTCTTGGTCGGTAAGTCACTGTTGAGAATGTTATTAAACTGTCCATGAGCTCTAATAATTTCAACATTCGCGTATGGAAGTTCGCTTAGGGTAGATTTAATTGTACAACGAACACGTTTCTTGCTAACACTCATACTTATTATCTAAAAACAGACAAACAACTCTACATCAACATGAATACTTAGCCTTCACGTCCATTCGTTAATCGGTGCAGGTCCGTGATATCCTTAATCTTGATGGCTCGAGACGTGGTATCTTTACGAAGATAAACAAGCGATCCCTTCGACCAGCAATACTGATAGTGAAACTGCTCCTTGAACCTCTTAGCTTCAAATAAAACCTTTTGCATCCTTGGCGTTAAATGGTCAAAAATTCTAACAGCGGAAAGGGAGGCATCGTCAGGTAAACCAACAGCAGATGGGGCAACTTTACTTGCATTTCTTTTATGATTCATGACATCATCTTTTGACAATCGTCTAATAAATCGGCAAATGATTGGCCGCGGGCCGCCATTGTCATTGCTTCTCGTTGGGACTCGATGGGCTGTGTCAATGTCATGAATTGATACAGCGGATCCAATTGCCTTAAATAAACATTCACATAGCGCACTCGTAGAAGCCGAGGATTCATCTTGACTCAATTGAGGGACACCAACAATCTTAACATTATATTGATAACTGTACTCTTGAAATTCATCGATGCTCCTGGAAACTCTGTTAACTTCAACAGCAATCTCATCAAGCATGGCACCTAAGCGATCAAGTTCTTTACCAGCAGAGACCCTGAATCGCTCAAAGTCATCATATTCTTTACTCATGAATTCTAAGCTTTGCTCTACTTCGTCATTAGTCGCTGCAGGTTTTTTTGACTGCTCCAGCAGCATCACCTTCATCTTAGCAATCTCATCCGCCATGACAGACAGTTGATCTTTAAGCTTACTGTTCTCTCTCTTAAGGCTAGCAACAGACTCGGGCATTCTTGAATCTCTCAGAAAGCAAAAAAAGAAAAACGATCGTGAAAAAAGAAACGAAAAATTATCCAAAACGAAACGAAAAATTATCCAAACTTGATTAAGATTAGCGGAGCTCGTAAAGTAACGTCCGTCCTGACCAACTCACCGCTGACTCCAGCCCGGTTACCGGGATGAAAATTTTTCAACTACGCATGCCTTGTAAGGACGCTGACTAAACGGAACGCAGCTCACGCGACCTACAACGCGTGCAAACATGGCGGATGGCGAAGTGTCTTCCACCTTGACTTCGAAGAGATTCCGTTGGGAAACAGACACGGTAAGGCAGTTGATCGACTGTTTACTTGAATACAAATCAAAAATGGCCTAAATGACGCCGGTAAACAAATTCAGTACCAAGAACTGCGAGTGGACATGGTGAAGCTTCATGAGGACGATGAATCTATATTTGGTCCTGTGGCTGCTTTCAAGTTACCGGATGATTTCAAAACCAGTTCAAAGGAAGAGCAGGCCAAAGCAAAGCATCGTGTAAAAGAGTCAAAAGATATGATAACGAAAGGACAGAAGAGAGTGATGGAAAAGGTGAAGGAAATCAGACAGAGTTTCTCTAAAGCTGTAGTTTCTGGAAGTAGGAGTGGCAGTGGAAAACTTGTTTACGAATTTTACGACAAACTGATAACATTGTGGGGTGGTTCTGCCAGAACAGAGCCCCTTTCTTATGGTGTAGGAGGAGATGATTTTCTGGAAGACAATGAAGTTGTCCAATGTCACAATCCAGAAGATGACAGCTTAAGTTTGGATTTGGAAACTGCAGGTACTTCAGCTGGTTCAAGTGATCTAGGCCCTGGAGATGATGGGGGTAGTGCAAGTGGCGATGTGGCACCTGGTAACAAACGCAAAGCTAACTATGTACCAAAGCTAATCGACAACAAAAAGAAAGCATTTGGAAAAAAAAAGCTTTCTGCCCCAGAGGGATGGGTTGCTTATTAAAGAAGCTAAGGAAGATGCCCAATTTCGAAAGGACCTTGCTGAGGCAATGCGGGAGTCTACAGCAAGTTTTTCTCTTAGTATTGAAAGTGTTAGTAAAGCTATGACTGATCTAGGGGCAGGAGTTTGTCGATCAATCGAGATGCTATCACAAGAATTGCAACAACCTTATGCAGTACGTGCACCTGTAAATCAGAATTTGTTCTATCAAAACCCAATGCAAGTTGCACCTCAGGCTGCTGAGGGTGTTTATGCCCAGCTGTTTAGCCAACATGGTAGCCAGCAAGATCCAGGAAGCAGTGGAAGCTTTTATTATCAACCATAGAGTTATGACATTATGACATTGTCTAATAGATCTATATTGTATATAGATATACAAACACAACTTGATGCTATGGAAATAACTGACAGAGTTTTCTATTCTATGGGCAAATAAGTTGACCTGCCAATTTCCATTTTTCTGCCAACATTTGCATTTTGTTGATATTTAATTCAATTTTAATACTCAGAGAAGGCCCTGCCTTGTTTTGATTTAATCTGTTATCAGTGGGGAATTTTTGATAATTATTTTTAAAAGTATTTTTTATTCATTGTTTTTCAAATGTAAACAGCCTTGTTTGGCATAATTTGGCCCACAGAAAATGTTTCAAACAGCATTCTAGTGTATCCAACAAAATTTCAGACTTCCTCAGTACGTGTTGTTGTTAAAGTTTTCATACTGAGTTTGACAAATTCAGGCCATAATCCACAGTTGGATTGCTCACTATAGTATTCATAGTTGCCTGATTGCACAAATCTGAGGATGTTTCAGAAAAGGATTTCTTATTACATCTCTACTTGGTTATTTTAACCATCATATCTTGGGCTCCCTTAGTATCCTTGCTTTAGTTTTTGGCCATATTTGTTCTGTTAGAGGTTGCCTTCAGTTTTGGTAGTCATGACCATATTTGGGAAGTCACGTGACCAGAACACAAAAACCGTATAAACTCACACAGCTTACATCCTTCTCCAATGGAACAAAAGCCAACAGGTAGAGTGCATTCAAATGCAAAATTTGTAGAATGGATTTGTTAAAATTCGCATTACTGAAAAAGCTATGACGTCATGAAGTTTTTGTGATGTCATAGCTTCTTCAATAACATACATTTTAACAAATCCATTCTACAAATTTTGCACCTGAATGCACTCTACCCGTTGGCTTTTGTTTCATTGAGGAAAGATGTAAGCTGTGTGAGTTTATACGGTTTTTGTGTTATGGTTACGCGACTTACCAAATATGATCATGACTACCGAAAGTGAAGGCGACCTCCAATAGAACAAATATGGCCAAAAACTAAATCAAGGATACTAAGGGAGCTCAAGATATGACAGTTAGAAGTCATCCATAGCATGCATTTTGTATTTAAGGGTCTCCCCCCTTAAGTTAATTAAACTAAGAACAGCAATACATGTAAATAGGGTAAAGTTTAAGTACTACGTTAAAGATTCTTCAGTACTAATTGTGTGAGTGTTGTCCTCACAACACTCCCTTCTCCCACATCACAAGAGTAAATTGGATCAAGAGTGTTTTTAAACTGATCTTCATTTTCCTTCATAAGTTGAATTTACGAGTCAACCAAGTCCTGATCAACATACATGTTATGCTTCTCACAATAATTATGTAATACAAAACATGCATAAATAATTGTTGGTATTGCCTCAAGTTTGAAGTCCACTTTTGTAGTGAGTATGGACCATCTTGCTTTAAGCCGGCCAAAAGCACATTCAATTTGGTTCCTGGCAGAACGCAGCATGTTGTTGAAAACAACTTGTTCATTACTGGTACATGAATCATACTCTTTCATGCAGAAAGGAAGCAATGGATAAGCTGGATCACCAAGAGGTAATTAGGTATTTTGACACCACCTGGAATTGGAGTCTGAAATGTACAGGGCAATTTATTACTTCTTAATTTGGCACTGATGGAAGAATTGGCAAAAACCTTTGCATCATGGACACTTCCAGGCCACTTACATTCAACATCCATGAAGGAGCCTTTATAGTCACACACAGCCTGCACACTTAATGAAAAAAACTGCTTATAGCAGAAAAAATCTTGTGAGTTCTCTGATGGGCACTGAATTGGAATGTGTGTCCCATCAATGCAACCAAAAGCTTGTGTCATGCCAAATTTGGCTTCAAATTCTGCTACCTTCTCCCTCATGCTTTCTTCATCTTCAGGAAGATGGAGATATTTCGGGCCAAGATAGTTTGAAATAGCTTGACAAACCTCATTTACGAATAAAATGATGATGAATATATGCATGCCAATATGGCTGCCACGCTCTTTAGAGCTCTTGCAGTTTTCTATATTTTTACCTTCATAACTATGATAACAGTTGAAAGAGCTTATCGAAATCAATCTTTAACATCAAGATGCATTAGTTGGATGGCTAGATTTGAGCTGAGAGTATCCCGGTCTCGAAATCTCCGGGTAAGAAGGGCTATGGTGAAATGGGACAGTCGAGGCATGGTCTTCCTGGCCGCCCCTGAGAAGTTTGTTGTGCTCGACATTACTGTTAATATGGATGTCCATCCACATCCTGGACCTGAAGAAGTGGATAATGACCACGGTAAACGAAAACAGAGCTCCAACTCCTCGGACTCTGCTTGTCAACCTGCAATTGGGTCAGTCAGAATCCATTGCTCTCACAATCGTGACAGGCTACTTTCGCTGAGACGTTCGGCGGGCCGACCTGCGCCTCATGTTTTCGATACCCTTAAATCCCCTGGAATTCTGAAATACAGAGGTCCGGGATTACGAAGATTGGGGAAAATTACTAAAAATATCTCTGCATCGCAACACTCCGACAGATGTCGACCCATTGAAGTTGTTAAAACCCGGCGGTTTGCTAGACCTTATCGCTTCCAAGATCCCGCTAAGAACAGATATCTTACAGCTATTCCTCGAGAGCCTACTAAATCATCTACCGATTGCTCGGAGTTTGCCGTTCCCAAGTGTATGTTCATCAATATTTGCAGTCTCGCAAAAACTAAGAACAAAGTGCGTGCGGCGGTTGGACTTGAGGCTGACTTGCGATCTAAAGATATTGATGTTTGTGTCGTATCGGAAACACACCTCAAACCGGCACAACCGGATGCGATTGTAAATATTGAGAACTATTCCATCTTTCGTAGAGACAGAAATTGGAATGGCAGAGATATGCGCAATAAGGGTGGGATTGCTATATACATCAGGAACAATCTTGCAGTAGAGGATGTTTACCGCTCTAGTCTTTATGAATTAATTTGTATAACTCTGCGACTTCCCAAGGGACATCGATTTGTAATATGTGGAATTTATCATCCCCCAAAATTTAATTATGCAGAGATCGATCTAATGAATCATCTTGTAAATACCGTGGATAATATACTAGACAAACATCCACAAACAGTTGTGTTGTGCGGTGGCGATGTCAACAAACTGGATATCAAACGCTTCGAAGAAATGTCTGGTTGGAATGCTCTGGTTAATTTCCCCACCAGAGGGAATTCTTGTTTGGACAACTGTTTCACGAACCGCACGGATCTCTTTTCAAAGTGCTATCCCTTTCACATGCTCTCCAAGACGGATCACATGGGAGTTATTTTACCACCCGGTATAAAGCTTCCACCTATCCGCCGTAAAGTATACGTGCGTGACCAAAGGGCTCATAGAAAGCGTGATCTGTATATCGCGTTGGCGAAGGAAAACTGGGATGATATGATACAGGAAACTGATGTCGATGAAGTGGTTGGTAGGCTCGAAAATACCATCCTAGGGCACCTGGATAGCTGCATGCCTCTGAAAACAGTGCGCATGTCTTCAAGAGACCCGGGCTGGATGACTCCGCTCGTTCGATCGATGATACGAGCCAAATCACGCATATCACTCAGTAATCTAGACCGTCTTAAAGTTATGAATAAAAGGATCTCTGAAGTGATTTTCAGAAACAGAAGGGACTTTATCGCCTCTATTGGAACTCGGGATTGGTGGAAAAAAGTGGATAAAACATCTCAGCGCCGCAAGCCGGTGATTTCTCTATCTCTTGGCCACTACGAACTCAACGCGTTAAATGACTACTTTGGTGACCTATGTACTGACCACGCCTACAGAAAGCCAACACCTCTGGAGATTAGTGAAGATCAGGAAGTCCCAGAAATCTCAGAGCGACAAGTCCTGAATTCTCTTATGCGTATAAAGAAAACAGCAACCGGACCAGATGGCATCCCGTATACTATATGGAAAGACCACGCCGAGCTATTCGTTCCAGTGATCACCTGGATTTGGAATCTGTCTCTTAGAACACACGCCTGGCCTGTCTCTTGGAAAAAGTCAGACCTGTACCCCTTGCCGAAGGTTGATATACCTAAGGGAATATCAGACTTCCGCGGAATAAATGTGACACCTGTCATCGCAAGGTGCTTTGAGAAAGCTGTCTTAGGAACACACGCAAGGGAGACCTTCGATGAACATTCTGGGATCTCACAGTTTGCATACATAGAGGGAGGGAGCTGTACCAATGCTCTACTGACTATCCAACATACTGTCAATCAATATCTTGATATCCCAGAGTGCAAAGCGGTACGCCTATTCGCTATGGATTTCAGCAAGGCTTTTGATAGTGTGAAACACGATCTCCTCTCACACAAATTGAAGCAACTCCCCCTAAATCCTTTTATAGTTAACTGGTATCTAAGCTTTTTTTGGAAGACAGGCAGCAGAGAGTCATTAGAAATGGGTTTATTGGAAAATGGAAAAGTGTCAACAAAGGTACCACCCAAGGAAGTGTCAGCGGGCCGCACTTGTTCAATGTCTTTCTCAGTGATTTAGAGATACACTTGGACAATAAGAGCGTGCTGGTAAAATATGCAGATGATACAACCATTATCTCGCCTGTGATAGGTGATAATGACAATTCTATCGCACTGATTAATCAGTTTTCCCAGTGGTCTAGAAGTAATGGTATGTGTAGCAATCCATCTAAGTGCAAGGAAATCATTTTCCGCAAGAAAGGTTGTACAATAGAGTTTCCGATGGTGTCTGGAATACCACAGACAAAAAGAGCTTACTATTTTAGGGGTAACATTTCAGGAAGACAGTAGGTTCATAACACATATTCGGGAAAAACTAATTAAAACAAACAAGTGCCTGTTCATTTTAAGATCTTTAAGGAAAGAAGGGTACAATCAGGCCGAAATAGACCATCTGTTTCTAAATCTGGTTCTACCAAATATATTATACAGGTTGTCCGTATTTGGCGCTGTAAATTCCGAATTAACAACAATCCAATGTTTCTTAGATCGATGTTATAAGCGCAAGTATACATCCGATCACATTAATGTTTATGAATTGTTAGTTCAACAGGACACGCGTATCTTCAAGAATGTTTTTAATAATACAATACACCCTTTAAGAGCTATAATGCCAAAAAAAAAATTAACCAAGTACAATCTGAGGAAAGAGACAAGTCACCATCCTAAAATAAACACTGATAGGTTCAAAAACACGTTTGTTAATCGCTTAATTTTTAAACATAATCTAGTCTTATAATTTTTATCTTGATTTTCTCTGTAATTTATATATATACCTTCTTTTAATGTTGTAACATAGGATATGTGATTATTTATCTTATGACTTAATAAAGATTCAAAAAAAAAAAAAAAAAAAAAAAAAAAAAAAAATTTACAACAGCTGATGCAGTGTTGAGTGCTATTCCAAAACTATTGGCTGTCATTCTCAGGGAACCAGTGTCTTTTAAAAAATACAATGCAACTGCAACCTTTTTTTCTGCACTCAATGCCCTGTGGTTAGGTGACTTTGGGTTTGGTGAAATGTATGGCCTTAGCTCCGATACCAGGTTCACAAAAGCAGCCCTTGACATCCGAAAGTTCTCTTTCCAACATTCTTCAGGTACTACTCCCGTCCAGATGTTTTTCCACCACAAGTCAGTTCGACCGGGTTTATGCCAACAACTTCGTTTTTTTCTGTACAAATCTCTCTGCTTCAGCTGCTTTACATTTCGGAAGAAATAACTTTTCTTCCGCAACAAGCCGATCCGGATTGCATCAATCTGCCTGGTTTGATGTATTTTCCATAGCAAAAGGACCCCGTGAAGTTGTAGCACTAGAGCTACGAGCGTTGATAACGCTACGATGGGAGCGAACGATATAACTGTTGAACGTGGCGCCATCTTTGTTTACTTTCTTGAATTTCGCGCTCAAACTCGTTCCCAGGGCCTCAGTCCACGTTTCGCGCCCTTTTCGACTCTTTTTCATCCCGGTAACCGGGCTGAAATTTCCCATATGAACAGACGACAAAATTCGTCCCGGTAACCGGGCCAGCCCGGTTACCGGGCTCATATGAAGAGGCCCTTAAAACCTGATGAGGAGGTCAATGTGTCAGCTCAGAGTTAGAATTTTAAAGGAGGTCCAAAAGATCCATCTGGTATATTGAACTAAAATTTAGCCTTTTTCACCAAGTTACCGAGAAGATGATTCTTGTGTCTTTCCTGTCTCATAACCATTGCCAGACTGGATGTTTTAATCCCATTTACATAAGAGGGGTTTGCTGGCGCGGCATATGCATATCCAAACCCTAAGCAAACAGTTATAAAGAAAACCTATTGGGTAGCTGTTTTACTTACGGGTTGACATTTTATGATCTACAGCTGACTATTGAATATATTTTTAAGCATTCATATCTATAACTCCACAAGTAGAGGGAACAGGATGGAAGGGGGTTAAAAGGCATACCCCCTGCAAAGTCAATTTTAGAGAAATGTGGCACGACCACAAGAAAAATTTTCATCTCAATCAAAAGAAAGCCAGGTAAAGATTTGTACATACTGAATTACTCCAGTTGCTGTTCTTCATTACTTTCCAGTGAAAAAGTAGGGAAAAATTCTTGAAATATTGGTTAAAACTCATTAAGTTAGGAAAATTGCATCTATCTAAATAAACATAATATTCAGGATCAGAACCTGCCTTCAATTTTCAATTTCAGCAGCTGGACATGATTCAAATTGGGCAAGCTTAAATGAAAAATAATCAGCAATGTTTCTGATCAATATCACAACTGGCACTTTTGAAATGTGAAGTTGATTGTAAAGAGTTCTGTCCTATAGGTAGACACTACCCTAACACTACTGCATAAAAAAAGACAAAAACCGGCAGTGTCATCTACATGATTTAGACCAAGTCAATCATATTGATGAGAATACAAAAAAATTACAGTGCTGTGTACATACAAACTATTCTTGTAATTTAGAACTATGTTTGTACTAGAATTCAAACAAACATTTTCTCCTAAAATCTCTTGAGCTTTGTATGTGATCAAAATTTTTCAATCAGGGCTAATTTCCAGTCAATAGTTTGAGCTTAAAAAACACTTTCATATGCATTGATTCCTCTAGAAAGTTGGCTAAACTGATTTGATAAATCTTAGGTGTTACACACAAGTCCAGTGTACAAGCTCATGACCAGGGAGATGTGGAGGATCAGAATTCGGAGGAATTTACTGTAACATCAGACTCTGATGATTACAGCCTGGTGAAGTCTGTCTTTACAACTTCAGAAAGTAACATTAATTCAACAAATCCTTGTCCCAAATCCTACAAAACAACCCACAAATTTCTCATAACAGTGAACTATGAGAGTTGATGCCTTATTAATTGCTAATACAGTCATATTGGAAGCAAGGGAGAGGAAAGGATCGGAAAAGAAATGAGCCATGCTACAACTATAATCAAATGTAACAAAATTAGGGTTAATTACAGAGCTGAAGAATATAATGGGAACAGTACAGGATGTAAACCCTATGCCAGGTGGTGCTTTAGCTTTTGTACTATATTTTATGTATTAATTAAAACCTATTTCCAGAATAAAATTTGCATCTATATAGTAGTTACATAATTAAGAGTTTGAGTTTTGAGGACGTGAATTCATAGTTGTTCATTACTCACTTGTTGAGGGTAATATTTATATTCATTTCATTTCAGATGAAAGTAAATTCAGTGAACATTTTGGATGCTTCTAAGAGGAGCTTGAGCAAAGAGATGTCCAGCCCCTATTTGTGAATGTGGACCTTGAGGAGGTATGTGTTGATTACCCTTCACATTCCGCTGGTCAGCCACCCAGAGTGAAATAAAAATTTGACAACCACAATTATTATCTTATCACATGCTTCTTTAACATTTAGTTCTCATTTCTCACAAAACACAGCATAATTGCATATATCAATACATTGTTCTTTCTTGGATGTTCATTTGGAAATGTACATTTGCCATCAAGCTGCTAGAGCAACGAAAATTTTGGTGTTAGTCCTATTTTAACCTGGGAACAATGAGGAACACATAGCAAGGTATATTGCTTCATTAAAATATTTAAGTTCTAAAGTGCTTTCAAACTAAGAAATTTTTATCTTAAAACTCTTCAACTGATGAAGACTGTGATGCTTAAGACACTTGAAATCATGTTTTGAAGTCTATTGGTTAACAAAGCAATGCTCCATGGTTTTTTTAAATGAAAATCCTTATTTTCCATTTGGTTTCACCTCAAATAGGCTGTTAAAGTGCTAGGCACAATTGAAGTCCATCTACTTGTTGATTGACAATGTTAAAAGCCAAACTTGAAGGCAAGGTAGTAATATTCTTGATTAAAATATATACTGGTAAATAATATATTTATAGGTTGTGATAATTGGATTTAAAAGATTTAAAGAGGTTTACAACCATGCAGTTAACATTTATGGGCAAAACCAGTGTTGATAATGTTGATGTCTAGAAACTGTCACTGACAATTAAGACTCCAGGGCAATAATGTCCCTCTCATCAGAGCACTACCAACATTTTTAACACATAGCTTCCCCAAATCAAAACATACCATTCCTTTCGCAGTGAAGACCACATTTGGAAGAAAAGCTCCAATTAGTGAGATAATGTTCCTTGCTTCGACACCAAATGACCCGTCTTAATGTTTGCTTTCCAGGTAAGTTTAAACATTTCACCAATCGATGAGAATTATAAAATCCTCTTAAATTAAACAAAGAATGCATTTGTGAAGGCTACTGTAAAGTCTGAATCTGTATGTTTTCCTTCCTGACAGTAGCTCAAAGACTTATCTACTCAGTGAGTCAATGGGTTGAGGAGATGCAAACAAATTTAAAACAAAATAAAATTGTAACATATGAAGAATCGCTGTCTTAAAAATTTGTCATCTGAAATTATTCTAATAAGTCTTAGCAGTGTTTGGTTTATTTTCTTGAATTAATAATGAACTGGTTACCCAGCTTTTAAGCTAGTTATATAGTCAGCATCAGAAATTTTGTTGCACCTAGGAGACTCCCTAAAAGATATGTATTCAAAAGATGTCGTATTCAAAGTCTAAGCAGTAAGCCTTATGTATGCATTGAAGATGGCGGGTCAAGTTTTTATCACTCCTCGCCTATTTACTGTTTTCTTGACTCTGCTGGATTATTAAGGCACTAAACGAGGGTTCTGGAGAGTTATTTACATCTACAAACTGTAGGGATGGTGTTTTTCCCTGTTTTCTTTTGAAACAAAGATATTTGTTGAGGCCTTAGGCCCAGGAAGAAGGCCTTCGCTGGACAGCAAGTAGGATTTCACATCAAATGCTCTGGTAAGACCAATCATGAACTTTGTCTTTACTGCAGACTTGGCCTTCCTTCTTGGTCATGTATAACTTGTAGCCTGCCACAATTTTCTGACAGCTTTTTCTCAGACTCTCTGGTCTCTTCTGCCAGTGAATGGAGTATAAATACTTCCACTTCGTCATCCACAGATCAACCAACCCATGGACTGGTATCGGGTGCAAGTCAGGGGATACTACAAGAAAAATCTTACTATAGCCTACCTAAATGTGAATAGTATATATGGCAAGGCAGATGAAGTATTGAGTTTGTTGGAAACCTGTCAGTTTGATGTTTTATTTATTGTGGAAACAAAGATAGATGGAACTTATTCTAATTCACTTCTTGCCCACCCCTCGTATTGAATCATTGGTCAGAACAGAAAGAAGGGCGGGGTGGTGTAATTCTAGCATACGTAAGAACTAATCTAACTATGTACCGTCGAAAGAGTTTTGAGCCGGAGGGAGTCGAGTCAATCTGTTTGGACATAAAAGGCTACGGGAATGCCTGATTCATGGTGTGCGGCTGTTATCACTCAGAAATAATGTGTAATATTTCTGATTTCATTACTTCTTGTGAAATGACTGCAGAAGGAATGCTTGCCAAGTGAAAGGAAATTATTTTTTCTGAAGATTACAACATGGACATGAACTTGAGCCCTGACAATGTTCGTGGGCCTCATCAAGTGTTTTCGAATTTTTGGGATCAATTTTGCTTGACCAATGTTATTTGAGAGCCAACAAGGATCATTGCCTGATTGGAGGCTGACCGGTCATTTCGCACAAAAGACTTTTCGCACAAGTCTTTTAGCACAAGTTTTGGACCGTTCGCACAATTCTTAGTGGTCATTTCGCACAATTCTTAGTGGTCATTTCGCACAATAATCATAAGTGAGAAACATCAATATAAAAGGTATACTGATTGATACTGATAAGACATTTCACCTTCACATGATCCAACAGCGAGAACGTAGACATTTATTTACGTAATAACTTCGACTAGATCAAAATGCTCGTGAACACGATCGCTATTCTTTCTTGAAGAAAGGAAAGGTACAAATCTCTCTCTCCATGAAAATGTAAAGCACTCCCTATTTGAATGACTACTTCTATAACGTTTTCTTTGTCGAACGAAAAACCTTTTACTTTTGACAGTATCATCCACTACAAAGTTAACAGGCAAACATGACGACCCACGCTAAGGACACCATCTTGATTTCGAAAGTAATTGTCACCAGTCTTCACTCCTTGTTCGATCGCCTTCAAATAGCATGTTTTATCGATCTGTAAGAGTTTCAAATAAAGCTATTGAAAACTTGCTTCTTATACCTTCGTTATAAATGAAAATTAGGCATATTGGTAATACGTACAGCAAAAACAGTTCAAGGTTAATAACTGGATATTCAGAGTGATTCACATCGAATGTCGGCACGTGGAATTGTTGTGATTGGACAACTTGAACGGGTCAGTGTGGGTAGTAACTAGTGATCTTGTAGAAAGACATGTTCGATCTATAATCATTTTAAAGATCGAGAAGTTTAATACACCTATCAAGTAGTAACCTTTCAAATTATTCTAATAACAATTACCTAAGCGATGGAGAGTTCAGTATCGATCGATAAGCGTCATAGCGACCGTGATGTAAGCAAATGATTTCACGAAAGTTTCAAGAATTCAAAATAATTCAAAGATTATAAGCTAGCCATTCGATAAGTAATCATACAAGCTTAAGATCAAAACAAATAAAGAAATTTAGATGTACTATAGCTTAAATGAATGCAGGAAAGGGCTAAATTTCTATGAGTCTTGATCGAGTAGCGAGTTAAAATTTGTATGATTCGTTGGGTAACATGGCCGTGAACTTGAATTTTATATATTTACACAGAAATTTTGTAAATAGGTCTTTTCTCCTTTTAAATAAAAATTGAAACAGTTTGCAGGTTTTTACTTTGAATTCAGAGGAGAGAAGATTGGTGACAAATACTTTCGAAATCAACATGGCGTCCTTATAGCATTGGGTCGTCATGTGGTATCCGGACAACTCGCCCCCTGGACAATTAGCCCCAGACGACTAGCCCCCAGTCTCTGGACGATTAGCCCACAGCATTTGGACGATTAGCCCCCAGTCTCTGGACTATTAGCCCCCAACCCACCAACCTTGAAATAAACTATGTTCTTGCCCTTTACTTTTTACGAACGTTTCCCTATCATATATTATGACTACTTGTTAATGTCAATCGGGCGTGTCGCAGGCAGATTACCGCAACGCTGTTAAAACCGGTGCGTCTATCGACTGGTGCTCACCTCATACAACCATGTAATTTAAATTGAGTAAATGTTAATATAGATAGACATTCACAAAAAAAAGGGCTCCTTTAGGAGCCACAAACTCATAAAAGTCAATGACCAACAAATGAACGTAACTTCTCCTTTACATAAACTAAGACTGGGGGCTTATCGTCCAGGGACTGGGGGCTAATCGTCCAAAGACGGGGGGCTAATCGTCCAGAGACTGGGGGCTAATCGTCTGGGGCTAATTGTCCAGGGGGCGAGTTGTCTGACATTCCGTCATGTTCGTTTGTTTGTAGTGGATGATGTAATGTCAAAACTAAAAGGTTTTTCGTTTAACAAAGGAAAAGTGAAAGAAGTAATCGTTCGAATAGGGAGTTCTTTACATTTTCATAGAGAAAGATTTGTTCCTTTCTTCAAGTAAGAATAGTGATTGTGTTCACAAGCGTTTCGATCTAGTTGAAGTTGTTACGTAAATAAATGTCTACGTTCTCGCCGTTGGATCTTATTGAAAGTGACATGTGAAGGTGAAATTTTTTATCAGTATTAATTAGTATACCTTTTATATTGATGTTTCTCACTTATAATTATTGTGCGAAATGACCGCTAAGAATTGTGCGAACGGTCCAAAACTTGTGCTAAAAGTCTTTTGTGCGAAATGTCCTGTATTCGATTGGAGTCACTACTGAACGCTATTCTGGTCTCACACCCTGAGAGAGTTGCATGCTATGGCAATCTGAAATTGGGTCTAAGTGACCATGACCTTGTCTTTGCTGTTTGCAAACAAAAACTCCCAAACCTAAAGCTAGGATTCTCGATCGCAGATCAACAAAGGACTTAAATACTAATGTATTTATTGCGGATCTTAAGGACGTCCCATGGGATAGTGCCTATGCATTTGATAACCCTAACGATGTTTGGTCCCACTGGGCAGCTTTATTACAACCAGCCATTGACAACCACACGCCTGTCAAACGCATGCGACTTTGTTTTAAACAACTGCCATGGATCAACCCAAGCATACGAAAGGAAATGAGGCATGGAAACCGTCTTCATAAAAGATTCACGTGGCAATTGGCGTGCCCACTGACGCCAATTGGGACCTTAACAGACTACAAAGGGATAAAGCATCTGCAATGAAAAGAAAAGGTGTAAAGGGGTTCTGCGCACAAGCAGCTTCTGATACTTCAGAAGGGGCAGTTAGCAGTTTTTGGAAAAAAGTTAAACTGCTGCTACTAGGGGATAAAGCATGCTCTGATACTTACTCTACCTCACTTATTGACAATGGTCAGATAATTCCAGATCCAGCAAGGGCCTTCAATGAATATTTTAGTACTCCTGTCATAGAAGATTCAGTCATTGAACGCATCATACAAGAGTTTGAAAGCCACCTCAGTGTTGCGTTGATTAGAGGCAAACATGATGATCTTGCATTCTCATTTGAGCATGTTTCACAGTCGAACGTAGCTTATATACTGGTTCCATTGGATGCCAATAAATCCACTGGCCCTGACGGGCTTTCCCCTAAAACTCTAAGGATAGCTGCACCAGGCATTGCCACACCCTGTACCAAGCTCTTCAACTACTGTTTTGACTGTCGCCAATAGCCATGTCAGTGGAAGCTTAGTAATGTCTAGCCAGTTTACAAAAAGGACGAAGTAACAATAAGATCAAACTATCGCCCAGTCAGTGTTCTCTTCACAATACCTAAACTTTTTGAGCGCGCTAAGTTTGACCAACTCTACCATGCATTTGCCCCGTTATTCTCGGACAATACGTCAGGCTTTTTGCATGGTCATTGGTGCTGCACTGCACTCGTGAAGCTCTCTGATGACTGGCGTGCAGCATTGGACAAGAAAGAAAAATAGTGGCTACTGACCTCTCCAAAGCCTTTGATTCAGTTCACTACAGTTTGCTACTCGCTAAGCTTAAAGCTCCAGTAGATAAAGATGTATTCACTATGTTAGTCAACACAGGAGTTAGTAAATTGAAATATTCCTTCATTACCACTGCAGGCAGAGGATCAAGTACACAGGATTTATTAATAGATCTCAATGCAAGTCCCTTGATGTCTTCGTAACTGACATTAATGAAGTCTGAAAACACAGAGTTACATTCCACGTAGTTACCAAGAGTCACTTCATTAGCATCATTACCTTGCGCAGAATTCTTCTCTATTAGAGTGGCATGGATATGATCAATCTTGTCAATGAAATAATCAGCGAAAGAATTAGCTAGTGCATCACTACGAGAAGATGGATACCGTGCAGTTGATTGCTTTTGTAGTAGTTTTGATACTGTATTAAACAAAACCCGTTGATCACTTGAGTTTTCAGTAATGATGGTAGTGTAGTAAGAGGATTTCAACGACTTGATCAAATTATTCACAACACAGCACTGACGATTATATTCTTGTCGATCAGCCTGCAGCCTGGTTCTTCGCCATTTTCTTTCAAGGCGTCGTCGCTTACGCTTCTCTACAGATACCTCATTAGTGTACCACGGAGCAGCAGGCCTAATAGTAACAACTCGGCGCTTGACAGGAGCATGCTTGTCCATTATTGATCTTAATAAGGTGTCATACTGTTGAACTAGATGATCGAGATCGCTGGATGGATTGATGACAAGAGGGCAGTCAGCAACATCACTAAGAAACGACTCCATGTCAAGAGACCGAAGCTTCCGATAGAAGATAACTTCCTTCCTAAACTGGGGCTTTCTTATGGAGACATCACACGTTACCGCCAAATGATCAGAGATGTTAGGATCATAGACTTTGATATTATTGAGCATGTTATCATCAGACTTATTTATAAATAAGTCAAGAGTATGGCCATTGCGATGAGTCCCAGCACAGACACGTTGTTTAAGGTCAAAAGATTCCAAGATGTCAGTAAAACGTTTGGCATTTACATCATCTTGACAATCCATATGCAAGTTAAAGTCACCAGTAATTAGGACTCGATCAGAAGACTCCACGGTTACAGATTCAAGTAGATGTGAGAATTCCTCAAAAAATCGATTGAAAGAGGAATTATCAGGTGGACGATAGATGACTAAGATCCTGACACTATATAGGCTCCGAAGACGAATATCCATGATTTCAAATGTATCATAATCAACTGTTAATGAAGTGTTGATGTTCAGCACATCCTTAAATAAGATCCCAACACCGCCTCCTCTTCCCTGTTTCCTGGGAACATGTAGGAATCTATAACCTGTTGGACACAGTGTTTCAATCTCAACATCATCCATATTGTGTGGTCTCAGCCAGGTCTCAGTAAAAGCTAGAATATCTGTATCAAAATCCACCACAAAATCTTTAACCTCCATTGTCTTATTACGCACGGAGCATGTGTTCAGTAGAGAGAAATTTAAGCAATGCAATAAACCATTTTCACTGTATGGAATTTGCGCAGAATTTTGTGAAGAGACTTCAGGCCCAGGATGCGGATGTACATCACCACTAACCAATAGAGATATTACCATGGAGTTAAAAGAGGCCGTAGTATTACTGTAATAAGAAATTCTGCTTTTAAACCATTTTCTCTTCGGAGTCCTTAATAAAAAACCTTTGTTCGGACTCATAAAGAAAAACATCCCATGGGAGGAGAATGCAAATAAGCTTCTCTGCCAGCGAGTAATCCGAGCGTGACTCATAAAGAAAACCATCCCATGGGAGGAAAATGCAAATGAGCTTCTCTGCCAACGAGTAATCCAAGCGTAAGATATTCCCGGTGAAGTTGGTTCAACAACTCTTTGGAACTGGTTTTCGAAGCTGTCAAACTCAGAGGTGACTTGAAAATCCCCGCCAACACATCTCAGTAGGATTATCAACCACAAGGACCAATTTAGAAAATGAATGGCCATCTTTAAGCGCATAAAAAAGTAGATAACGCCAGAGCTTGTGAGGACACGTCCGCACCGCACCGCACCGCACCGAATGTTGACCGTAACTGCAAGTAGTGATGTGTTACCTCATTTAGAATACTGTTCCCCTCTATTGTTGGGAATCTCTACTCTCCTGAAAAATAAGCTGGAAAAATGTAACTTTTATGGGTTAAGAACCGTGCTTAATCTAGGTAAATCTACTGAGTACAAAGACTTTCTCAGGCTTGCAAGTATGGACACCTTAACCCAAAGACGTCTTACTGCGTCTTTAATCAATGTTTTTCAAGGCATACAGGCTACAGGGAGCTTTGTATATCTCTAATTTTTTCACACCTAGGGTCTGTCATTACAATTTGCGCTCCTCTGATCTTAATGTTTCCCGGCCTGTAAATACCTCTAGCCATATTCATAGCTCTTTTTCATATATTATCTCTCATTCCTGGAACCAGCTACCATCTTCAGTTAAATTGGCAACTACTCTATCAGAATTAAAGACTGGCCTATCTCGCATAACTATGCTTGGCTGTAAGTGTAATAAGTGTATTAGTATACAATTGTAGGTGTAGGGTTATGAATTGGTAATTAGGCTTCAGGGTTAGGGCTACAAGTTAGGTGATTAGGGCTGGTAGGGTTTCATGGGAGGTTCAGGATCAGGATTAGGGGTAGGGAGCTAGGTGATATTTTTGCTGTTTTTTTTTTCGTAATATATATACAAATATTTAACTCAGATATATTTATATACACATCTATATTTTATCTGTCGAACGTTTTCAACATGAGCCATTAGGCTCGGGGGATTGGGTAACCACCCCCTATGTTACCGATGTAAAATAAATTGTATTGTGTTGTATTGTATTGAGTGTGAGGATCAACTGGAGTATGCAATTCATTACTTGCATAAACTTTTAACTTCCACCTCTACAAAGGATTCGTGAGTAAACCATTGGAGAATATCCAATTTTTTGGGTTGTTATAAGTATTTTGGATGTACAGATTGGTCACATGCCAAAAAAATCTCCAATAAATCTTTAACTAAAATGACAAATTTCATGTAACACCTATAATGTGATCTTTACGAAAAACGTTAGGCAATAACGTGACACAACTTAATCTAAAGCAAATATCACATTTCTCGGTAAAACAATAGCATCAAAATGAACAAAGAAGGCATTAAAGAAATCCATAACAAAGATTTCTTTTCTTATTGTATTTTTTTCCACTGAATTAATTCAGCTAAAACATCTTAAAAATATTTTGTATCAAATTGGATCAACAAAATTCTTAGAGCAGACTCCAAACACGATATTCAACTATTGATAATGGATGTTTGAAGGGAAAATAAGAAGAATGATATGATCAACATTTGTAAATGGTTAAGAAAATTTACAAACATTTAACCGGTCAAGTAGCACAAGAGTGGGGGAAAAGTGCCCAAGGGAAAAAAAGAGAAGAAGAATCACCTAATTAAGAGAAAATGAAAAGGGTAAGTAAATTCCTTGAACCACAAATTAAACCAAAATAATGATTGTTACTGGATATTTTTTTCCAAAGTAACCGTTACTGTAACCCCCAGTGTGAAAAAACATGTTATAGGGGTTTAATTTGCTGACATAACTGGTGAAAATTTAACATAATCATGATGGAAAAGGAGTTGAGTAATATAATTGTTGTAGTTTAACTTTCTGGGAAAAGGGATTGAAAATTAATTTCCTGGTCAATTATTGTTGAAACAACCCTCTCACCTCTCAATGTTGATGTCTTTTTTTCATGTGGTCATAAATTCTTGTTGCCAACATCAACAAAGGGAAAATTGTACTTGAACAATTGCAACCAGCCAGAGGATGATATTCAAATAACTAATTTTCAGCTGTCTATGCCGCATGTTTGGGGTGTTTGACTTTTCTTTTTCAATATATCAAAGAACTGCAAAATAACTTTGCAATCAGGTTAAAGCCACAAGACAGAAAAATCTCACCAAGGAACCTGCGGCAACTGTTTCCTCATTAAGGTTCTCCGTGAAGATAACAGGGAGATAACAAGAAATTTTTCAGTTCTCTGAAGCAGTTGACTGATAACTCATTACAAATAAAATAACATACAGTACAATAATATATATTATATATATATATATATATATATATATATATATATATATATATATATATATATATATATATATATATATATATATATATATATATATATATATATATATATATATATATATATATATAAACGCCTGCACTCCATATAACTGTCACAAATAATCAAGCATCAACAGGCTTACATTCTGTCTCATCAATTGATTTACAGGAGGTGTATGACTGGGTGGGAAAGGAGACTTCCCAAGAGTATTTCTTGTTACATCAAGTTGGATCTGGTTTTTTCCTGATGCAAAGCTACACAGCAACAATCTCAACCAATCAGAAAAACTGTGCCTGATAACCAGGGTAAGTAACATGTAAAAAGGATCTTGAAAGAGCCATGTAGTAACAATTAAACTGGAACAACTAGTTTATGTCTAAGTTGTTTTGCAGAAAAAGATGAAGCAGCATAAATCTTTGGAGAAGATTATGAGGTGAGAAAAATCACACATTGATCCTTTGCTTCCTTAGTTTTCTTTTCTTTTTTTTTTTCCAGTAATCATATTCGTAATAGTTGTTAACATTCAAAACTGTGGTTGATTGCAGGTGTCTTTTATGGGAATTTTGATCCTAAAGAATCCCTTGATGCTACCATTCCTGGTGAGTAGAAAATTTTCTTTAGAGCAGTTTCCCTTGATACATTTCTCAAACAAAAGAGGGAGCCCTCAATCCTACCATTCCTGGTAAGTAGAACATTCCCTTTGCAGAGGGAACATTCCATGCAAATAGTACAAACAGCAATGACAAAATAAAATTGCATGCAATTAAACCCTTCAAATTAATGAAGCTTTGAATCTAAGCACTTGTTTCTGCCCTTCTAAAGATAACAAACCTGAAATAAAATAACAAGAAATCCCCAATAAAGTTATCTTTTACTACACTCATGTGCATAATGCAAATTTCACTGTGAATTGCAAAATTTAAAAAACATGATTTTCTCCTTTACCTTCAAATATGACAAGGAAGAGCACAGACATAAGATTGAAGTGAGCAAGACTTTGAGTGAGGATAAGATTTGAGAAACACAATTTATTGAGCTTCATGGCTACTTAGTGAATTTCTCTGGTTTTCTTATTTGCTCAAGCATACTAAAATAGGAAGTTCCACTCTCTTAAAGTTAACCAATAGCAAAGCCCTATAAACAACCAAACATAACAATTTCCTCTTACTATACCCACAGAACCAGAAAAGGAAAAGAGACGAAAGAGAAGAAAGGAGTACAATTTGACTAATGAAAGTTTAGAAGTTGTCAGTGAGAACACAAATGAACCTTAAGTGAGCATGCAATGTCTTGTACATAGCATTAAGTTTTCTTTTCATTCCTATCATAAAGTTTTCTTTGCAAATATGATGAGAATAAATGATATAGAGTTTGTCTACATGTATTAGTTGATTGCAATCAGACCAGATGGTATATTTGACAACATTTTCTAGAGGCAAAGAGATCATTATCCTATAATGAGTATGCGACAGATAATAACAATTTTTGGTTTGGTCATCACGGTCATTGACCAGAGATATTTCTCTTATTATTTGTTTCTTAAAACTCTAAGAAAATCATTTAACAAATCAAGGCTCTCTTTTCAAAACTACCCTTTTTCTGCGTTATGATGGAAAGATTGGTGATCCAAGACCAACCAAAGCAAGCTCATTCCTGTAATAATCTGTATAATTATCCTAAACATCAACATGTTGAACATTTTTGGTAGCAAAGTGTGAATTCTCATTTTGATGTGTGCTTACTTTGATTAGATCCCTAAGATTAAAAGATGGTTTTCCTTTATCAGGAAGTGTATTCCTAATGAATTACAGGGTTATACAAGGAAAAACTCATTTCAGAAATGAACATGTCAATAGAGATCAAATATCTTATGCATACAGCATTAAAGGAAAACAAAAACTAAAATGGCACATTATGATGAAATTTTCCTTGCATGATGAAGTATGGAGTTTTAAGGAAGACTTGCCCTTTATTTTTCAAAATCTATATCTTTGAGATGATTATAATTTCTCCCAGCCCTCCTTTTAAGGAAGAATGAAGTAACCAAAGTTCATCAAACGAGTCTAGTTTTGTCAAACAGGTCTTGTTTCCACAAATGACCTCAAACAAAAAGGTCTTGTTGGAAATGGTTTAATGAGTGACTCTTAAATCATGAGAATTAAAAATTGAGTGGTTTCCCAGAAACCATGAATGATTCAAAGATGGTAGTCAAACGAGTCTAGTTTTGTCAAACAGGTCTTGTTTTCACAAATGACCTCATAAATGGTTTATCGAGTGACTCTTAAATCATGAGAATTAAAAATTGAGTGGTTTCCCAGAAACCATGAATGATTCAGAGATGGTAGTGCTTTGAGTGATTCCAACAAACAGGAAGTTGGAACTGATGTATTGACGAGTAGCAGGATGTAAGATCATTCTTTCCCAATTTTCTTGCAGGAATAACGTTTTTTTTTTCACTCTCAAACCAATACAAGAGTTGTGAATTAGATAAAGAATGGATGGGAAAACAATTTCACTGAGCCAGCGAAATTCTATGCATCTGATGGAAAAAATAATGTTGAAATTTCCTCCTCCAGCACAGGTTATCCGAACACTCTACATAAGTTCCCATCGGCTACAGACTGGTGTTCCATCCAGAGGGATGAATTACTCTATTAAGGTGTCTTGATAGGCCAGAAAAATAATAATTTTTCCACCGCAGCTAGTCCGATTTCAAAAGAATCAATCAAGAAAAGTGGCAGCCCAAGTGAAGATGAAAAGCATGTGGCCAGAAGTGTGAAATCAGAAATCTCCAAGCCTTTGCCAGCTTCAGTAAGTAAACCAGAAACACAGTCCGCTTATTCTTCTGATAAAAGCAGCAAAGGTGACAGTGAAGATTTGTTGGAGTTTAGAATTGTCTATCTTTCTATCCTTGCCTCGGTGTTTGAGTTTTTGGCATGCCCTTCTCTTGAAGAAGACGAAGAGTAAAAAATAACCAGGAAATTTTCCAAAAATTAATGTATGGAATTTGTAATTCCCATGATGTGAATTAATCATTTCCCATTCTAAAGAAAAATCTGTGTATGGGTTTTACCTTCAGTTCCCATTTTACAGCATTTACCATTTATGTGAATTTGGCTTTGTAAATGTTAATGATGTTATTTCCATTAATGTAAATCAGCTTCAAGTGCAGGTAACAAAAACCATTAATGGATTTTACACAAAAATCATTCATGGGAAAAAATGCACTTTCCAATATTAATATCTAGAGTGACACTATTATCTGAATTTCCATGAATGTCATTAACGGTACTATATTGAATCACATCCACAAAATATAATGGTATCACAGTAATATATATTAGAAAGTCCATTCTAGGATTTTACACAAAACACCATTCAAGGACAAAATGCACTTCCCAATAATGTAATTGGATTAAGCTAATACCTTAATTTCTGGCCCATTTTCCCTAATGGTACAGGTAGCTACACTTATGTATCTTTGTTTCATTAGAAAGATCATCTTCAGAAATTTGAGATACAATTATGGTTTTTTCCTTTGAAAATTAATAACTGTTCTTGAATTTGAGTTGGAACTTGGTCTGAGTTGTAGAGGATTACCTTGCAAGAAATTGCTGTTACAGGAGAAATCAGATGATCATGCACTGACACATCTATGTCAAAAAAGCTGGTGTTCTTCGTATGGAAAACAAAGGTTGAATTCACTTTCTAGTCTTTAGATCTCGCATGCAGTGTCACATGACTCTTGATATAAACAAACCAGAAAAGTTCGCACATAAACCAATCAATTTTTTCATTTTAAAACAATTTTAATATGTTGCCGCCATTTGGATTGTACAACATTTTTAATCATTTGCTTTACCACTCCAACAATTACAATATGCAGGAACTCGCCACCAATAAGTCATTTAAAGATTATCAACTTCTTGGTGGTGGTTATGGGGAATCTTTACTAACTTCTCGTTTGAAACAAGGGGGTTAAAAAACCTAGAGTAAACACTAAATTGTGAAGGACCTGGTAATCAAAAAAACTCAAACACACCTATTCCCAATATGTTGACTGAGATGTTCACGCTCCTGAAGATAGGAATCCAAATGATGAGGAATATCTCGGTCAATTCACCAAAAAAGATGTGCAAATTAAAAACTGACCCACCTGCAGTTATCTTGCCTCTAATCAAAAATCTCTACTATGCTTCTGAAGCTCACTCGGAACTGGACAATGATCCTCTTAATAAGGCTACCACTGGTGTCATGAATACCAAAGTACACAAGATTGCTAAAGGCCATCCCAACATCTCTAGCAGAGATGTGTTGAGGGATCCTCTTCTGTTAGACCATTTCCAATGACAAAATTGTAGTAATAATAGCTCTCTCTGTAGTAATAGTAAGAAAAATTCCTCAAAAATATGTCAACATATCGAAAATAAATAAATACACCGGAGTTAGGTACAATCTTGAAATTGGGACTCCTGATTGCATGTGGAGAAATATATGTGACAATAGACTAGGGCCTAGACTGCCCTTCACCACAGGAAACAGACGTGGCCACGTGGGGCGACTGGGAGTCTGGGACTCATTCAATATATTCCAATTTCCAAAATGGCGGAAGACGGCAATGCTACTTACGCTAGTTCTTCAACTTCCAGTGGCTATTTGGGTGAACCATCCGAACTATCAGCAGATGAAGTTGTGCTAGTGGAAGAGAGTATAGAGAGAGAGGCATCAGCTACGCCCACAATACTAAACAAACTTAAATCCCCGACAGCGTCAGATCTAGCAAGGAAGAGGAAGGTGCAATGCAATCTCCCAAAACATGGCAAATGCTTTCATCTACCTAAATCGAAGTCTAACCCAAAAAATGTCACAGCTTCTGCCAGAGTTACAGAGTTTCCAGGTGAAAACTTTACCATTTTGAAGTCAAATGGTCAACTGTTTTGCAATGCTTCTCGCGAAGAAATTGGTCTCAAAAAGCCAATAATAGAGAATCATGTGAAATCGTCAAAGCATGCTTCTGGAAAAGAACACCTTGAAAAGAAGGAAGCAAGGGAGAGAGACATTGCAGAGTTTAGAGGAGTATGATAATGAGTTTCATCCAAAGGGTGAGAGCTTATCTGTTACAGAGTTAATGTTGTAAGATCATTTATGAAAGCAGGAGTTCCATTAAATAAGATTGACTGCTTTCGGGAGTTACTAGAAGAGGAAGAATTTTCTCTGACTTTGAGTAGACATCTTTCAAACTTTATAGATGTTATTGCCAAAGATGAAAGGAAGAAAGTAAAAGAAGAAATTGAAGAAAGGGATGTGAGTATCATTTTTGATGGGACAACTCGTGTTGCCGAGGCCCTGAATATTATTTTGTGATTTGTTACTGAATGGAAAGTTCACCAGCGATTGATTCGGCTTCTTCTAGTTACAAAACCTATGAATGGGGAGGAGTTAGCACACCAACTACTAAGTTCTCTGTCTGTAGACTTTTCCATTCCACCTAGCTCTCTACTTGCTGCTGCAAGGGATCGTGCATCTATCAATAATGTAGCAATAAGGCATCTGAAGATCTTGTACCCAAACCTGGTGGACATTGGCTGTTTCAGTCATACTCTTGATCATGTTGGTGAAAAGATGGCTACACCAAATCTTGAGAAGTTCATGAAGTCAGCCTTTTTGTACAAAGTGCCCGCTTAAGAAATGCTTTCAAAGCAACAATGGACAGGTCCCTAAGTTCTACTCAGAGACCAGATGGTGGTCCAAGTATGAGATGATGGTGCAAGTGCATGACCTCTTTGGTGATATACCAGCCTTTGTCAATGGAGGTCAGATACCAGAAGTGACTGCACATAAACCGCAGGATATATTGAATGGCCAACAGAAGCTGGCCTTACTCAAAGTCGAGCTGGCAATTACAGTCGATGCCATGAAGCCATTTGTTCAGTCTACATATCAGCTTGAAGGTGATGGCTCTCTATACTTGCAAGCATATCAGATAGTAAGAAAGTTGGAGGCAGAGATGAGAAATCTACACTTCCCAAACTGCAGTGCTGTTATAAGAAACATTGCTAATGGAAACATTGCTCTTCAGCGACAGTCAGAGGCCTATGCAATGGCCTGTATTCAACCAGCATATGATTACTTCGCATCTAAATTTTTGAATAATGGAGATCAGTTACAGCCAGCTGTTGAAATATTCAAGGCTGGACGTCTGTTCAACCCAACCAAAATTGCAGAAATTCAGCCCACTGCTGCAATTTTAAGTGATCAATTAAGGAAAGTTCCGTTCTTGAACAATGATGCATGCATTGATGGCCTCCAAAGGGAACTACCAACTTACATTGCTGCAGCTACTGATGTCAATCCAGACATTAATGTTCTAACCTGGTGGGAGATTCACGAACAAGAGATTCCAAATTGGGCAAAAGCATGCAAGAAAATCTTGCTTATCCAACCGTCATCTGCAGCATCGGTGAGGGTCTCCTCATTGCTAGAAAATTCCTTTCGGGACAACCAAGCATGTGCTATGGAGGACTATATTGAAACCTCCATCATGCTTCAGTATAACCAAAGATGATCACATAAAGGGAATACTTACACTATATGTTGTTTATATAATCCTCCATATAAGCATATCAAGCGATCATATTTTATTTTAGGTAAAAAAATGAGTGATCTGGGAAAAAAATTCTGAGCATAATAGTGGAACTTTTTGAGCATAGTAGTAAGAGTTTTTGAGCATAAAGAATTATCATAATAGTGAAAATTGTGAACATAATGTGGACAACCCTACTTGAAAGTGGGAAGTTAATGAAAAATTGCCCAAGCCAAAGTTTGGAAACATGTGCTGCAAGCTTGATTCAATGTCCAAACTTTCAGGGTTTTTTTGCGTCAAAAATCACATGACACCACATGTGAAGTCTGAAGCCTAAAAGGTAAATTCACAAAAAACGCAGCATTTTTACTAACATTTACTGTGCCTTTTCGCATCAGTGAATCCCAGTATTTGTTCCATTTTTTGGTAGTTTTCCTTTGTGTAAATGTAAGTAAACAAACCATTTTCTGGCCTTAACTGCTCGGTTTATGTGTGGCTTACTTTGCATTGGCATTTTCTGAGTATACAACAACGTTAGCAGCTAAAAACATGCATTATCTGGTAAGATTAATGTGTGTAAATGCAGGTAAATGTTATGATTTCCTGTGTTTGCCTTCCGTATAATGGGTAGATAATGTCATGTTTTCTGCTGTTCAGAACCATTTTTTTGCAAAGTGTTCACAAGAATTTTTTCATTCAAAAGCACCATGGCCCAGAAGGCTCACAGTTCAGTTGTGATTTTTTGCACAGTCCAGTTGTGGTATTTTGGCTAGATGAAAAGGACTGGGATCTTTGTAGCGGCTTGTTAGTGTTACTTGCGTTCATCTTCAGAGTGCATTAAAATGGATGCCGTCATCAGACAAGCTGTACGAGACGAACTTTGGCATCAAAATCAGACCCAAAATGTAGAATCGATTGCTGACACAAGCAGTAATCCACGAAATGAATGTACAGAAAGGTGTTTAACTAGATTACTTGATCAAATAAGAAAGCCAAAAGGAGAGAAGAGGAGGAGGGGGGGGGGTGGATTCACTTCAACAGTGAATTAATGGTATTTGTTCCAGTACGTCAGAGAAAGGGCAGTGGAAATTGTTATATTTCTTACAATGTATTAGAGCCCTAAACCATGGGTGAGATAAAGCAAAAGGCAAGTGCATTGTTTTTTCCTGACAGTAAAGTGCTTTTGCTGGGCCAGCCGATGAAATGCTTATAGATATGTGCAATGTAACCCAGACGGTAATTGTGGAATTCCCTGATGATAGAACTATCGATTCTTATTTAAAGGAGAATGGTTTATATCTGTGCACAACATACTTGTATCTCAGATCACAGCATAAAGATAGTCTAATCACAGAGGTTGAGAATGTGGTGGCCTATAGGCTCAAAACACAACTCAATGTCTCTTCTGAAAGACAACAATCTTTTCGGGAACACGACAATCTTAGCAGGAACACAACAGTCTTTCAAGAACACTAAAAACTTTTTCAAAACACCACAATTTTTTTTAGAACACAACAATCTTGGCAGGAACACAACTGTCTTGGTGGGAACACAACAATCTATTGCAGTCACTTGTGATAAGGAGAAGGAATTTAGGAACAAATGGAAAATTTTTTTCTGTCCTTATAAAATTGTATTGTGTCCTTTTTCTTCTCAACTTTTGTATTTTGATTTGTTTCTTTTCTCTACCTATTTATTTAATAATCTATTAAATTCTAGAAAATTAATGCCCTATGTAGGTAATTAACAAACAAACTCTTATTAGTGACTCAAACATTAACATGCAAACAAGAACGTAAATAGATCAACTGTAATTCAATTTGACTAGTGCAATTGTATTGTAATATATGTATTGTAAGTAGTACAAGTCAATGTAATGTAAGCATAGTGTAAGTACATATGTAAGTATAATATATAGGAAAAAATTAAAAAAATATATTTTTCAAAACACCACAATTTTTTGAGAACACAACAATCTCGGCGGGAACACAACTATCTTGGCAGGAACACAACTATCTTGGCAGGAACAGTCTTTTTGAGAACACAACAATCTTGGTGGGAACAAAACAATCTTTTCAAGAGCACTACAATCTTTTTCAAAACGCAAAATTTTCTGATACACAAATGCAACTAAAACACATCAAAATTAAGTGAAACAAGACAAAATTTCAAAGTGCTGGTAAGTAACCCTGACCCTGAAAGTGATTGGAAACTGGGACTTGTCACATAGGCCTCATAATCTTCACATTTGTTGTCTGCCATGTTTTGTCAGTTGTGGTGGTTGGAGAAGAGCAGATCACAAGTTTTGCCCAAAGTGCGATATAGGTTTATCTTCATCTTCAGCTGGTCAAGTGTCCACTTTCAAGAACTTTTTATCCCAAAAGTCAAAAGAGAGGCAAACCACCTTCAATTCCAAGTCTAAGAAAATAAAGATGGATGAATTTGTAACCATAACCATCGGGATTGGTTCTGTATCATGCAGCGTTTTCAAGCCCATGAGAGGCAAGTCCCTTCCCCTAAAAGTCAAGAAACACGTAACAGCAAAGACAATACTTGATGAGGCCATGAAGAAACGAAGTTCTTACAACTATACTTTCAGAAATTACAAGCCTTATAAACTATGCTTCCCAGATGGAAGCAAAGTGACCACCCTTCCAGGAACCATTTACATTGGAAAAGTATAAGGAAGACCTAAGAAAGACTTACACATGCATTACATTGTTCTTATGCCCATTAGATGATGCTTCAGACACTGAACCCGAGCAGCATTGCACGTCAGAATTAGAGTGTCTAGAGAGCTTAAGTGATGCATGGTTGAATAACGTGGACCTTGGTAAAGATGACACCGATATATTACCAGCATTTGACATTTTTCAGCGCTCTCCTGTCACTTCGTCAAGCACCACAGTTTGTGCTACAACCAGTGGATCTTTTACTTCTACACCTTCAAGTGGAGCTCAGTGCAGTTCTTCTAGTATGTGTTCCTTAGTTTTGAGCCTGTCCACATCATGTTTTCATTTCATTTTGTGGATTTGTCACCTCTTCAGTGTATGAGCTCTATGGTTATTTGATCAGATTGTGTGCATAATTTAGGACGCTTTCATTTTCACGTGCCCTTTGATTAGAAGTAACTGCAATGTCGAGCTCTCTGTTCATTTCTGTATTTTCAAGAAATAATACTGTAAAGTTCATTTGATAATTAATTTTGTTGTCAATGAAGTGTCCTAAGTTACATTGCTTTTCCTACCCAGATTACATGCAAATGATAGCCATGTTTTACTAAATATTGCTGCTTTTGTAGGTCTTGTCCCTGTGAATACAAGTCAAAGTATTGGATCAGTTACCAGAGCAGATGATATCCCAGCTGTTACATCAAATGCTAACCAAGCTGCTGCTCACTGTGATGCTTTCCAAGCTTTCATATCAGATAGCAATGATGGTTTGATCTCTGATGATGTCAGTGAACATTCCTTGACTAGTGGATGCCCTGTATCTGTTGGTGAAAGTCAGCCTAATGATGTACATGCACAGAGTGATTTTGATAATGGCAAGTGCTAATAGAATGTTTATTGCCACAAAGAATGCTTGGTAACTGGTATTTATACACTGTGTGGCTACATTCTCTTATTCAATATTAACTATGTTTATTTAGAGTAGTAAGTGGCAACTAACCCAATTGTTTAAAATTGAATATTGTGTTGTTTTAGGTACTACTCCTGTATTAGTCAAGGGTGTGCTCATACATAGATCCCAGGTTCCCAATAGATCCCCATAGATCCCAAGAAGAATTCAAAGCTTTGGGCATCCCTACCTGTAGTTACAACTTAAATCTAGTTATAATTAACGAACATGGGGAGATTGAGGAAGGGAGAGGTCTTGGTGTAGTGCAAGAAGTAATCACAATGTTTTGGCACCAGTTTTTTATGTCCTTAACAATTGGTGCAACAGAAAAAGTGCCATCTATGAGGCATAACTACTAGCACCAAGAATGGGAGGCCATAGGTAAAATATTGGTGTATGGGTATTGTGAAATTAAGTATTTCCCAGTAAGTCTTTCAGGTGTTTTCATGGGAAGTTGTTTGTTTGAGGAAAGGGATATTTCTGACAGTTTTCTTCTTAAAGCATTTTCCTTATACATAAGCAGAGATGAAGCAGAAACATTAAACAGTGTAAGGAGCGCAAGTTAGAAGCTAATGATGATGATGATGTACTTGAAGTACTAAGTAGCTATAAATGCTACAAAACCTCAAAGATGCCAAGGTATTTTTCAAATTGTTGGAAACCAATTATTTCTTCTCTTAAGAGTTTTTCACAGTTCAAATTACTAGACTCTATGACAGAGATGTACAAGACAAAGAAGCCTACAGGAAAAAACTTTATCAAGTTATTTACAGCAAACCCTCAAAACGAGTCAGAACAGAGCAGTTTTGATCACTGAAACGTTACATAAAATATCTTGGTGAGGTTGCTTTGAAAGCATTTCTTCAGTTTACCACAGGTAGTGATGTAATTGCTGTGACATAATTAACTGTTTCCTTTAATTCACTTGATGGGGCCCATTGCAGCCCCATAGCACGTACCTGTGGACCTGTTTTGGAAGTACCTACCACTTACCAGTCATACCGTGAGCTAGCTGGGGAATTTTCAAACTTAATTTCAAATAAAGTAGCATGGGGCACTACAATAGTTTGAGCCTTTCATTTCCATGATGATCCAGTTATCTGCTTAGAGTCTGCACCTGTGCACTTATTAATGATGATACCATAGTTGATATTTCAGGTAACTGTTAGCGATTATTAGTACAAGTTAATACAAGTAAGGGGGTTACATTTGTTATGACCAGGCGAATCGCAAAATTATGGGGCATTTTTTTAATTTTTGGGCAGGGGGAGCCCTGTTGGAGGTTAGTCTGTTTCTTTGTTTGTTTCTTTGTTTGTTTTAGTGTGCCCAAGAAATAGCAATTTTGCAGAAGAGATAACAACAGTTTTTACCAACTCTTCTCCCCTGGTCATAAGTAACGAAAGCCCCTGTGTTGGTATAGTTTTGGTTCTTCTATCAGTGGTGGACATTATTCCTTTAGTATGATCAAAGAAAGAAAGAAAGCAAATTCCCAAGTTGTTCATTCAGATCCTTATAAACTTTGTTGCAAATAAAAAGAATTGCTTTTTACTAAAGATCTTGTCTAGAAAACCAAGTTTTTAAAAAATCTGAGCGATTGACATGATGATTCTTTACGGTGTTGTTGTCACACAATAACTCGTTCGCGTCTTAAGCTGTTATAGTCATTGGTGATGTTCACCAATTTTCACCAATGTTTAAGCTTCTGTTTGATGTTCACCAATGTTCACCAGTGTTTTTTTTACTACATATCGTTTACTTTTCTGTATGTGTAACTTCTAATAAGTTATATTGGATTGAGGACCAACTCGCCGACATCTCTACTCGATGATATATGTCGGCGAGTTGCCATCGGCGAGTTGACTGGATACCTTTTAAAGAAGTTAATCCACCAACCAGACCTGTTTCTTCTGTAAATTCTTCAAATTCTTCACTATAACCATGTGGACACATGGTGGCCTGATCTATTAACTCCTCTATGTCATCCTCATCTATGCACACTTTACAGTCAACTGTGTTGTGCATATTAGGTAAGAAAAACATACAGTCGGGTTTTCACCTCAGACCGCAGTGTTCTGGGAAAATTTACTGATTTTTCTGTGTGTTCGTTTGAAACATATTTATTTGTAAACTCTTCACATTTAACCATTTCAAATTTATTCTAGTTCATTCAAGTTCTTTCCCTCTAGTAAATCAAAAAATATATAAACCACAGTAGCTTTTGAATGGTAAACTAAGAGATTTCTGCTTTGTTGCTTGCTTTCATTGTACACCTTTATATCGGTACTTTTGTTGTTCATTACTAGTGAAATTTTAGTAAAAATAAGTGTCAATGGTCCTTCTGGAAAAATTGGTTCTCATGGTACTTAGCAGCTGAGTTTATAATCATAATTTTAATTTCCTTTCATGCGATAGGATTCCACCCTAACCTTACATAGATAAGCAGAAACTTTTAAATACTTTTCCACCTTTATTTCCTAAGCTGCTCTACTGTAATTAAGATAGGTATATTTTTCCATACCAGAGCTGTAAATTCTCACCTATGTTTCTTGTTTTTAATGGCCTTGAGTTTAATGCATGTCTTTTTAATTTGGAAATTCTTTTCTTGAAGAAACAGATGAAATATTTAAGTGGCTTTCGTTTAACTTTGTTTCCAAGGTAAATCTAGAGAACAATGGAACCTTGCACCAATTCGTATTTAAGCAAATACTTTGTATAACTTTTTCGATTACATACATGACGGCATGCAGATTACATACAAGACGGCGTGCAGATTACATAGACAACCACATGACAATTACTAGTTTAGTTTTGACTCTGGCATGCTGTATGTTGGAGTGTTCTATGAATAAAAGTCTACTGTGGAACCAAAATGCTGTCTCACTCTTGATGTCTGTATAAGCTCACTCGAAGTACCAGGAAATCATGTTAAGTTTCCATTCTTGTAAGCTGAGTGGTCTCTACTGAGTTCTTTCCCCCCATTTTGTACATTTCCCGTAAAGTCCATTTTAGTGCATGAAAACCTTATCATCACGACTGTTTCACTCTAGATTAATTAATTATGCATGAAAACGCAACAATAGTTAATAAGCTATAATTAAACAATCACAAAACAAAACTATCACTAATTGATCGTGCATGAGACAAAACGAACGTTGAGGACAACCATCGGGTAAATATTTCCTTTCTATGGAATTGTAATTTAGTAGAATCCTTACTCATCATAATTGCTGTGAATTTTTGCTATAGATTTCAAACACACATGTGTATTAATAGATATTACAGAACACAGTTTGAAACCACTGGTTTCAGCAATACATTTGCTGTTTACAACAATACATTCAAAATCCGTTTTGGAGGAGAAGAGATGGCTGAAGAAGCAAAAAAGATGAGGACCTCAGCTAAAACACATTTTACAAGAAAGCAGAATGAATTCCTAAAGTCCACCAATGAAAACAAAGGTATTGATACTGTGAAGAGAACCTTCGCTGAACTCAATGAAGCCTGGAATACAGTTCAAGGTAAGCATGACATTTATACCACACACTTAACAGAGGAAGAAGTTGAACAAAGTGAATCACTGAACTTCATGAACTATACGATGAGGTAGCAGACATACAAGCTCAATACGTGAACAAGCAGATTCAAATTGAGAAGAAACAAAGAGAAGAAAAAAATCAACAAGAAGCAATCAGCATGGAACAAGAAAGATTTCAAACTTTGATGGAGCAAAAAACAAGAAAAAGAAATCAATGGCAACAATCTTTGAAACTTACAAAGCATGCACAAAGTCTAATGGAATCACAAAGTAATGATCAAGAAAACACCATCTTTGCACAAGACTTCTAAAGAATTAGAGACTGCACTAACAAACAGCAATGAATTACATACTAAAGCACTCGAGCTAGTAGATAGTAAGCGTGCAGAATATGAGAACGAATGGATTCGTAACGTGCACACACTACAAAGAAGTCAGCGGAAGGATCAAATCATTTATTGCTAAGGAAACAGATCATGACAGTGTACGAAAACAGAATCCACTTCAACTAGAAAAGGTCAAAATGCTATTATTTACTGGAGAAATAAGAGATTATCCTCGATTTAAAATGGACTTTGAGAAAGTCATGTTGACAATTAACAATTAAGAGTGAATGTCTCTAAAAATCAATTAATAATAAAAAAAATCGCGGACCTGGTCAAAAAATTGTTTCATCCCATTTTTTGTCTACAGGTAGCTTAAGGTACTACTTAAAGTGAAGTGAGGTTACTTTGTGTTAATATTCATTTCAACGGAAATAAACCATCACTAATTGCATGATTGAAAATGAGTGCGTGCGAGCTCTATAGTATGCAGTTTTCAGGCCGTCCTTGCATGAACCAAAATGCAACAGCAGGACTTCTCTAGCTATAAATATATACATGTGGCCTTCCATTACCAAGATAGATAATGGCGTGGGGAACACTTGAATTGAATTATTCACAGACATTAGAGTTCCTTCGAACAATGCGGGAAAAAGGAAAGAAACATAAAATACTGACTTGTGACAAGGTTAACTACAGAATGTGTCATCAATTTGGGGTTTGTGGGGCTTTTGCCTAGGCTAGTTTTGTTCTTTTGCCACATGCAGAGCTGTTTGTTCAAGGAGGATGTATAAGGCGAAAAAGTATAAATTAATTCTTTCTCTCAAAATATTAAAGGAATTTGTGTGTGATGTCGACAGTCTAGCAAAAATAAAAAATCAGTTTCAATGCAGAGCTTGGGTGCCACAGGAGGTGTGGAAGACATCACAGAAGATTTAAGTTGTCTAACCTTGGTGAGTTTCTTTAAAGTGTACATGGAGAATTTCCATCTAATATAATTAATAAAAGTGGAAAACCTTAACGCATTCTCTGAATTCTGCCTTCTCCGCCCTTTTCATACCTAGGGATTCAACAAAGGTGGGAGAAGGGCGTGTCCAGGCTAACTTGCATGCACATGCTCAAACACAGCCATTGCCGCCCATCAACGACTAGGCAAAACTATATATGATACAAGAATTGGATCAGCGTGCCCCGTCCAGATAGCAAATCACACTCCAGGATATATACAAATAATGAAGGTTTTAAATTAATATATGGCTTCTCCAAATTTTTTTTGAAATGCTCCAAATGGAAAATAATACTGAGAAGAAACTGGATAAAGATATCAGGATAGGTTATCAGTCAATTATATTATAAGGTAAAAAATAATTATCGACTATTAACTTCCGCCTTGCATGCAACTACGATGAAAGTGGCGTACGAGTGTGGAGAGCATTCAATGTGGGTTCTGGTAAAGTAGTACCATGGGCCAAGTTCGAAGGAGTCATGAAGCAGCCTGAAAAATTGGAACTCCTAGACTCGCCATCGCAGAATCCAAGTAGCGCACCAACGTTCAAGATTGAGAGACACCAACATATTAAGAAAAGCTCTGTCAAAGCAGATTTCTCAACTGAAAGTGAAAACCAAGATCAAAGCTGTATTGGGGAATATAAGCCAGATGACATGCTTTTCTCGTGTCCAGAAGAAGGATGCCTAAAAGCATACAGTCACTTTGCAAACCTCCAGACACACCTAGATATTGGAAAACACCAAATGATGCTCCAACAGGAAACTCTCTACCATAAAGCTAGAAGAGAATATTCCTCCAAGCTGATGGAGGGGTGCAGTCGAATACCAAGCGTTCAAGTTGTTGCACAATCAAAGAGTGACGGCTTGCCACCTCTTCCAATGGGTTGGGCCCTGAAGACAATTAAGAAAAAGGTGTGTTTTAAAAAGAAACAGACTGAATTCTGAACTGACCAATTTCAAAAAGGGGAGTATAGTGGACGGAAGAGCGATCCACGGGAAGTCTCAAAAACCATGAGCCTAGCAAGAGACTAAGCAGGGGACACCGATTCCAACCTGATGAATTCCTTACGTCACAGCAGATTAGTGGCTTCTTCAGCCGTCTTTCAGCAAAGACTGTTTGCTTTGAGGCTGCTAATTTGATAAATGAAAGACCAATAGGTAGACACCCAACCTCACCAGATGACGAATGATACCTATGCCCCAATTGTTGAGGCCAATCCTCAACAAGAGAACAATTTAGTTTTCCTAAGTCTGTTCCATTCCATTTTTTGTAATTTATACTCCCAGCATGCTAAGTGAGCGCTCTCAGTGTCATTGTGTAGCGAGAAAGAAACCATGTGCTTTGTAACGCGCTAGTCGCCGGGAGTTTCTCATCGTATAGTGAGTCTTAGGAGCTCGTGTATTTCCAAATCCCGTTCCAACTGTGATTAAGTGTTTGTTTTGTAGGTTTTTACTTGCGAGGTGAAGCTTGTTAGCCAAAGATGAGACTCCAATTCCGATCCTGTTGTGTTGTTAAGAAAATATGCTGAGTGTGCAACTCTCAATTATTAAACCTTGTGTTCAAGAACCCTTGTGTTGTGAAGGCGTGTTCTTTGTCCCCTGCACATCTTCGTAAAAACCAAACGAGCATCTTGCCTGTGATTAGTGGACGTCCAAAGTCTTAACTGTGAAAATATTTGTGTGTGTGTATCGAAGTGACATCAAAGCCATGATGACTCAACGAGGAATTCTACTCGAGCATTTGGAGGTGTTGGACAGATCCCGAAGGGGATATTTGTCTAATATTACAAAACTATGTCATCAACTGGATGAAAATCTCGGAGACTTCGGCAACGTTGCAAGATACGAACTGTACAAACTAGCCTTAATTCCGCATGGGAGCAGTATTGTGTTTGTGTTGAGAAATACGCTGATTTACTCGATACCAGCTGTGAAAGGTATCAAAGAGTCTTGAGCAACTGTGCGGTTCAGCAGTCTAGAATACAAGAATACAATGAGAGAATAGATCAGTTTATTGCCAGTGCTGCTGCCTTTTACAACAGCCAAGTGTTAGTGTACCCCCCCGGAATCCGTGAAATCTAATGGTGCTTGGGTCTTGAAATCAAGTGTGTGTAGCTCCAGGGCCCAAAGGGCTAAAATCGACGCGGCCAAGGCCCTACTTATGCAGCAACAAGCTGAAGAAAGGAGTAAGAAGCTAGTAGAACTGGAGGTAAAAAAAGGTCGAAATGGAAATAAAACGAACAGAATTAGAATTGCAACACCAATTAGAACTCACCAAATTGGAAGCAGAAAGGGAAGTTATGGCTGCTAGAGATCAAGTGGAGCTAGTTAATTTAGAGGCTTGGTTAGCAGAACAGGAAATGGAGGGTATCAAATGGTCTCCAAATCTTGACCTACAGGACTCAATGTCTCAATCCTCAAGGATTGGTGCCAATAATGTACCAGTGACCAAGCCATCTCATACATCAATACCAGGATTAGTAAATGCCCAGACTTCCAATACACTCATTTCTAGAAACACTTATTTCAAGGTGCCAAGTGTAAGTTTTAGAACCCCTACTGTTACGGATGAGGGTACACACGAGACTGTTAAACCCCGTATTCAAGACAATGGCCAGTCGCAACCTGCTGACCCACCCACTGAAGAAACTCCATGCCTCACGAGCACCAACCGCTGTACAGACACGCCCAGTGCTGCTGGTTCAATTGTGAATGAAAGTCTTGTCACTATCATGTCTTCAATGGAGAAAATGAGTGCCGCTTATGATCTACCACATGTACAAGTTCAGAAGTTTGATGGATCCCCTGAAAATTACCCAGCCTTTCATCAGAGATTTAAGCAATTGGTTGAAACTAGGCCTCTCAGTGATGCTATGAAAATGACCCGTCTGTTACAGTTCTTGAATGGTCCTGCCCTGACCGCGGTGCAGAGATATGAGCCAATGCCTGGTGGCCTGGCAAAGGCACTCAAGACACTAGAAGAACGTTTTGGTCAGCCGTTTCAAGGGTATCCAGTCAACTCACCGACGGACCAACTCGCCGATGCCAACTCGCTGACGTATAAAATCGAGTAGAGACATCGGCGAGTTGGTCCTCAATCCAATACAACTTATTAGAAGTTAAACATACAGAAAAGTAAATGATATTTAGTAAAAAAACACTGGCGAACATTGGCGAACATCAAACAGAAGCTTAAACATTGGTGAACATCAAACAGAAGCTTAAACATTGGTGAACATTGGTGAACATCACCTATAACAGCTTGTGTCATGTCAATCGCTCAGATTTTTTAAAGAAAACTTGGCTATCTAGATCTTTAGTAAAAAGCAATTCTTTCTATTTGCAACAAAGTTTATAAAGATATCAAGGCGAATAAAGCGAAGTAAACATCGCCAATGAACAAAATTGTCTGTAGATGCGAATGAGTTGTGTGACAACAACACCGTAAATACTCATCATATTTTTTTAAGAAAACTTGGCTTTCTAGACAAGATCTTTAGTAAAAAGCAATTCTTATTATTTGCAACAAAGTTTATAAGGATCTCAAGGCGAATAAAGCAAAGTAAACATCGCCAATGACTATATCCGCTTCAGTAAATATCGTTTACTTTTCTGTATGTTTAACTTCTAATAAGTTGTATCGGATTGAGGACCAACTCACCGACGTCTCTACTTGATTTTATACGTCGGCGAGTTGGCGTCAGCGAGTTGGACCGTCGGCGAGTTGACCGTAATTCGTTTCAAGTAGTGAGAGTGTGTGTTGAATCACTTACGAAGGGACCTGCTATACAAGCAAATGATAAGGACAGCCTGCAGCACTATGCTGATACTGCACAAGTTACCTATGATACCTTAGAGTCAATGGGATACCTTAGTGAGATGAATATAGATAATCTGGAGAAAGTCATTGCGCGGCTGCCAAAGTGGATGCAATCCAAATTTGCCGAACATTTGAAGAACCTCGAGCGTAAGGGACAGAAGATGCCAAATTTCAAGGATGTTGTAGATTTCCTCAAGGAGAGAGCATTTGTCCTGAGCCACCCTTTCTTTACCAAGTCAAGAACTCCTAAGGGTTTTACCTATTCTTTAACAGCAACAAACCCTGAATCCTGTGCCCTGACCAGCTTGAAGAATTCTGGAGAGTCGAGTCCTATGGTATGAGCAAGTATGAAACCAAGCCCCTGTCTGTGGAGGACCAAAGAGCTATGAACTTGATATCCAATTCAATCTGTAAACATTTTGGTGCTAAGTCTTCACCCTGCTGTGCCAACAAGGCGTTAAGCATGACAGCGCAAGACAATGAAGAAAATTACCCACCCGAAGTGATCAGAACAGTTCATAGAAATTTCTATGTGGACGATGTGCTGAAGTCCGTCCCAAATACTGATCAAGCCATATCCCTGGCCTCAGATCTTATGAAGTTGTTGAGAGAAGGAGGATTCCGCCTAACAAAGTTTGCGAGCAATAGTCGTGAATTACTAGCCTCAATTCCTCCTGCGTCGAGGGCGAATCCCAAGTTGGACCTAGATCTGGACCAGTTACCCCTAGAGTGAGCGTTGGGTGTCAGATAGACAGATACTTTTAAGTTCAAGGCCTTACAAGCGTACAAGCCACCCACCAAGTGAGGGGTACTTTCCGTCGTAAGCTCCCTATTTGATCCGTTGGGATTTCCTTCACCCTTTGTGTTCACAGCCAAGATTCTGTTACAAGAGCTGTGGAGGCAGAAGTTGTCTTGGGATCAAGAAATTCCAGAGTTGTATTCGTCCCTCTGGCAGAAGTGGTTGCAAGAGCTGCCGTATGTTACTACAATCGAGATACCAAGGTGTTACAAGACCCAGTGCCTTAGTGCACAAGCCACTGTGCAGTTGCACAACTTTTCCGATGCGTCAAGGCATGGTTATGCAGCAGCGTCTTACCTACGGTTCGTTGATGAGCAAGGAGTGATCCACTGTTCCTTCGTTATGGGCAAGACCAGGAATGCGCCCATTAAAGAGTGGACTATACCTCGCCTAGAACTGCAGGCAACAGTGTTAGCGGTACGGCTAAGTAACTCAATTCTGAAGGAGCTCGATCTGCAAGTAGATGGAACCTTTTTCTGGTCTGACTTGATGACGTCCCTGCAATATATCAAGAACCAAACTAGGCGCTTCCAAACCTTTGTTGTGAATTGCGTGGCCGAGATTCATGAATCAACCACCCCAGAACAGTGGCATCATGTTCCAGGTAGCATGAACCCCACTGATGAGGGTTCATGAGGTGTCACCATTCAGCATTTCTAACTCAGATGTCAGTGGTGGTCAGGTCCTTGCTTTCTGTGGCAGCCTGAACATCAGTGGCCTAATGCTCAGGTGGAAGACGTTCGAAGTGATGATAAGGAAATACCAAAACCAGCCACAATCATGTTCGCCACTGAAACATCCCAAGTTGATCTCCTACTACAGTGCTATTCGTCGTGGTCCCGTTTGCTGAGAGTGATGTCGTGGGTGCTTCGCCACTGTACAGTGTGCAGCGGCGACCATTCTATTTTTCACTGTGAGAATAAGTGTGGTGTCTGCCACGGCGACAGTAGGCAATGTTCGTGTAATGAACGCCCGCCTCAGAAAAGAAAAAAGATATCAAAGTCAACAGCCTCCAGTCAACAGCCTCCAGTCAACAGCCTGCAGATACGTCGCACGACGATCTAAAGAAAAAATACGAGTCACTGCAAAAGGACTACAAAAGAGTGGGTCAGGCCTTCCAGAACCAGCAGGAACAGAACCAGGAGCTGAAGGCGTTGCTAGAGGAACGCGAGAAAGAGGCTGAAGAGCTAGCCAACCTTGTGCGGAACAAGGACGAGGTCGTTAAAAACCTCGAGAGGCGCCATGTAGACGCAAAGAAGGTCATCGCAGAACTCCGAGCAGAGGTACGACGCAGAGACCAACCCGCGCCACAAGAAGACCCACCCGCATCACAACAGCAACACCAGCAGACGGCAGACATACGCGTCAGCACCCACAGCCTGGCCAACATACACGAACGATATGACCAGGTTCTCCAAACGATGAAAGAGAACAAATGCAGCATGGCCTGTGCCTTCTGTCTTGCAGGCTGTCCTCGGAGCACACTACGAGACTTCGTGGCGATAGCCGAACTGAAAAAGGTCGCCTCAAGGGAACTGGACCTCGTCCTCCGCGACCAAGAAGTTCAATCGGTGCGGGATCTGGAGGTTGCCTGTCGCAAAAGACTTCGGCGCTACATCCCGGTCATGAACAACATGAGGAGAGAGGGGCAGCTGTTGCCAATGAAGTTTGCGGCACGATTTTACGAGTGAAATATCTTGTATATTTCACCACGCACAAAACGGCTCCTTTAGGAGCCACCAAATCTTGAAAGTCAATTGTCAACGTATTAAACATGTTGGATGCTGTATCAAGCGAGGCACGATTCTACGAGTGAAATATCTTGTATATTTCACCACTCACAAAACGGCTCCTTTAGGAGGCACCAAATCTTGAAAGTCAATTGTCAACGTATTAAACATGTTGGATGTTGTATCAAGCGAGGCACGATTCTACGAGTGAAATATCTTGTATATTTCACCACTCACAAAACGGCTCCTTTAGGAGCCACCAAATCTTGAAAGTCAATTGTCAACGTATTAAACATGTTGGATGTCGTTTTCAAGCGAAAAGCGAGAGAAAACATTAAGGTTTGTGTTAACGTTTCACGGACAAGCTACCGACAAGCTACCGACAGGTTACCGACACATTACCAACAGTCGGCCGACTGTCGGCCGACAGGTAGCCTATATTTCAGGCAAAACCTGTTGGCCAACTGTCGGCCAACTGTCGGCCGACAGGTTTTTGGGGAGCTCTTCTTCACAATTACCAGCAGTTGCGCAATTCCTTGCTAACTGTTTTTGGTCGCGATGGGTTCTAGAATACATGCCTACCTTACAGCAATGCCACAAGTGGCTACTAAACAAGAGGAATTTAGCAGTGAATGACCTGGTTCTTGTGGTGGACAAAACTGTACAGAGATCCCGTTGGTTGCTGGGTTGCGTAACGAAAGTGTTCCCTGGTGAAGACTCACATGGCCGCACCGCCGAAGTGAAAACAAAGGACTCTTCTCTTACTCGTCCTGTGACCAAGCTGTGTCTCCTTGAAGAAGCTGCGTGACAGGTTTGTCGTAGAGTGCACTGAACGTTGCAAGATTGAACTGAAAACATTGTCGTGAACTAACAGTCGGTTTAGAACTTTAACATTGATAAGTGATTGTCTTCTGGGGCTCGTTCAGCCCTACCCCCCGGGATGTTGAGGCCAATCCTCAACAAGAGAACAATTTTGTTTTCCTAAGTCCGTTCCATTCCATTTTTGTAATTTATACTCCTAGCATGCTAAGTGAGCGCGTCTCAGTGTTGTCGTGTAGCGAGAAAGAAACCATGTGCTTTGTAATGTGCTAGTCGCCGGGAGTTTCTCATCGTATGGTGAGTCTTAGGAGCTCATGTATTTCCAAATCCCGTTCCAACAGTGATTAAGTGTTTGTTTTGTAGGTTTTTACTTGCGAGGTGAAGCTTGTTAGCCAAAGATGAGACTCCAATTCCGATCCTGTTGTGTTGTTAAGAAAATATGCTGAGTGTGCAACTCTCGATTGTTAAACCTTGTGTTCAAGAACCCTTGTGTTGTGAAGGCACGTTCTTTGTTCCCTGGACACAATTCTTAGAGGTCATTTCGCACAATAATCATAAGTGAGAAACATCAATATAAACGGTATACTGATTGATACTGATAAGATATTTCACCTCCACAAGATCCAACAGCGAGAACGTGGACATTTATTTACGTAATAACTTCAACCAGATCGAAATGCTCGTGAACACGATCACTATTCTTACTTGAAGAAAGGAAAGGTGAAAATTTCTCTCTCTCTATGAAAATGTAAAGAACTCTCTATGCGAACAACTATAACTTTTCCTTTGTTGAACGAAAAACCTTTTAGTTTTGACAGTATCATTCACTTGAAAGTAATCGTCACCAGTCTTCCCTCCTTGTGCAATCGCCTTCAAATAGCATGTTTTATTGATCTGTAAGAGTTTCAAATATGGCTATTGAAAACTTGCTTCTTATATCTTCGTTATATAATGAAAATTAGGCATTCTGGTAATACATACAGCAAAACAGTTCAACTTTAATAACTCGATATTCAGAGAGTGATTCACAGCGAATGTCAGCATGTGCAAGTGTTGTGATCTGACAACTTGAACGTGTCAGTGTAGGTAGTAACTAGTGATCTTGTAGAAAGACAAGTTTGATCTGTAATCTTTTTAAAGATCGTAAAGTTTAATACATCTATCAAGTAGTAACCTTTCAAATTATTCTCATAACAATTACCTAAGCGATGAAGAGTTCAGGAATGCAAGTCAGTTCGATCCAAGGTTGTTTCAATTGACAAAAGTCAATTCAATCGAAGACAAGAGTCAGTTCGATCGAAGACTGTAACTATTGCTTAAGTGTACTGAAGTTACTATTGATCAAATCTGTTTTAAAATATTTCCTGATACAGTTAACTTTGGAGTTGTATGGACAAATGAAAGGTTAAATTTTTTTGGCAAGATGGAAACAATTCCTTTTAGTTGGTTACTTCTTCTTCTTGTGGGCGAAACCACTCTCGTTCTGAGAGAAACTCACTATATTTGCACCGACAGGTCGAGTAAGACTCTTAGCGATTTTACTCCAATCGCATGAGCAAAAGTATTAAATTCTTAAACCCCGTGTTTCAGTGTACACACGTTACAGCAAATAGCTCATTGAGCATTGCCAATCAGGAATGCCGAGAAAGAAACCCCGACAACAAAAGAGATCAATTGAAAACCGCGTTTCCGCGTCGCGCATATTACATCGCGCAATTATTACACAACACAAGAACTCTTATTATTATCTATACGCTTGCAAAACTGTAGTTTTTATAATCATTTACTCTTCGATCAAACTGACTCTTGTCTTCGATCAAACTGACTTTTGGTTTTGATCAAAATGACTTGCTACCAGAGTTCAGTATCGATCGATAAGCATCATAGGGACCATGATGTAAACAAATGAGCTAAACAATGTAAACAAATGTAAACAAAGTAGCTTGTGCAAGATGTCAAACACCTCCGGTGAGAGAATCATGGCCTTTTTCTTGTTTGCCAGCAGTTTGACGAGTCTGGACAAGGTCGTCTTGCTGATAATGGCGTTTGTGAGGTCCAGTTGCTCCAGTGGATCCTGGGCAGCATATTGGATTGCAGAAGACTTGCCTGTATGAGAGAAGATTAGGATATTAAAATCCGAATTGCAGCGTATTTAATTGAAGGTTGTTTGCTTTTGTCTGCGAGTGAGTGTAAGTGCGGGAAGCACTGGCGCACTGTATGCGAGGTACAAGGGGAAGTAAAAAGATATTTAAAATTGATTTTGGTTGAACTTACCCGTCCCAGGATATCCAACAAATATAGTATATATATTAAGTGGCTGCTTGTGAGTTGTTACATTGACCTTTGCGTTGTTGCAGGCAAGTATGAAGCTCGTTGTTGTTAACAACGATGGTACAAAGTATCCTTCCCAGCTTCCAACCGAGATTGCCTTATTCTTAACAAAATCGTACACATCTGAGTTGTGAAATAGCTTCTGATACTGAAACTGCACAGTGTTGAGTCGTTTTTGAAGGTTGATCCACATTTGTTCGTGTTGTTTGTTGAGTTTTGTTACTGCATACATTTTGATGCTCACTGTTAGACTGATAAGTATTGACTGAAAGTCAACTGAAATGAGCAGAGAATAGTCCTTAGGGAGAAGTGTTGGTGGAAATACAGATTCAACCAATCAATGGCGGTGCGGCAATCATTTGTATTCAAAATTTGAGCAATTGTGGGAAAGGCGGTACTGCAAATCTGGGCTTCTTTGTTTGCGAAATCAATTGTTTAGAAACAGGTTATTGTGTTCCAGTTACAGGGTAATTGACAGCACTATTGATGTCAACGTTACAGGGAAAGTGTGATACAAATGATTGAAATTGTCATGTTAAGGCTATTGAAATAATCGTAAAAGAAGCGTGCCGATTTCAATGATGGCAACAAATTCGTGTTTTGATTTGTTGTGCAGGGCAGGATTTTTTCTGTGAGAGTAAATTGAAAGGGTGGTGAGGTTTTTTATTGTTAATTGAAAGCGTTTTCGCATTTTCAATGTATGAGCTCTTTTAAGCTGACATTATTTTGAGCGATGTTATGTGTCAAAGTGAAAAAGGGCATTAAGAGTAGGGTTAAATTTTTTGCGCAGTCATGAACGATAAAGGGGTTCAAGTTGCAATTGGATCACAACGTAGAGAAACCAGTGCTGGTGGTGAAAGCGAGACAACATCACAAATAAAGACAGAGGATCAAGGGAAGCAATGTGGAACAGCGTTAAGTGGCAGCTATTGACACAACTGCGAACACCAAAAATGACGTTATGACGACTTGGTAGCGCGTATGCAAGATAAAGAACTGTTTGTGTATTGGCTAATGGAGGAAGGACTTTTGGCGAAGGAACGTTTGTGCCCGATTTGTGCTGGAGAAATGAGTTTGAGTAGGTGCGAGGATCGATCGTATGGTTTCAGGTGGGAATGCAGAAAACAAGTTAACTTTAAGAAACACAGGGCAGAGTTGTTGATACGGAAAGATAGCTGGTTCGAAAAGAGCAGGATGACGTTAGAAGAAATTCTGAAGTTGACTTATTGGTGGTGCCAGGATCTCGATCAGAGACAAATTAAACATGAACTTGGACTTGGAGAAAGCACGGGGGTGGACTGGGACAGTTTCTGTCACGAAGTATGTGAAATAACACTTCTTGAAAATAGCGAAAAACTAGGCGGAAAAGGAAAGGTTGTTCAGATAGACGAAAGTAAATTTGGCAAAAGAAAGTACCACAGAGGACATCACGTTGAAGGGCAGTGGGTGTTTGGAGGTATAGAGGAGGAAAGCAGGAAATGTTTTCTGGTGGCAGTCGAGAAGCGAGATGAAGACACACTGTTGCCCATTATTCAAGACTGGATTGAACCGGGAACAATTATAGTGTCGGACTGCTGGAAAGCGTACTCCAAACTCGAGGCGCATGGCTATGAACACCGAACAGTGAACCACTCTGTAGAATTTGTGAACAAAGACGGTGATCATACCAATAAAATTGAAGGACACTGGAGGCATGCAAAGTTGAATCTGCCTAAGTTTGGTGTTCGAAAGCACCTTTTCTCCACGTATTTGGCGGAATTCATTTGGCGATACATGCATCGCGATGAAGATTTGTTTAGGGTTTTTTTGAATGATGTAAAGAAAGTGTATGCCATCAATACAAGAGAACATTAATTCTTTTAAGTGTATTAGACAATATTCGAAAAAGTGTAGAACATTATCTCCTTAAAGCGTAATAGACAATTTTCGACAAAGTTTTGAAGCGTTAATCATGCCTCGATGAGCTTCGTTATTATTCTTGCACAGGTTTCTGTTATAAATTGTGATTGAAGTTAAATTAGATGATGTAAATAAGGCCAAGAAGTTGTATAAATTTGTTGTTGTGAAATTTATGATGTTAATAAGGCAAAAAAAGTTGTAATATATTATTTTTCAAAGCATTTGAAAAATTGGTATTGCGCAAAACGAGAAGTATGCAGATGCTTGTTTCGGCTCATGGATGATAGAACAAGGTATATACATGTTTAACTTGCTTGTTTCAGCACATGGATAAAAGAACGAGGAATATTCATGTGTAGCACGATTTGCGTTGCAGCTCATGGATAATAGAACAAGGTATGTACATGTTTAACTTGCTTGTTTCGGCACATGGATAAAAGAACGAGGGATATTCATGTGTAGCACGCTTTGCGTTGTGTTCATTAGCGTTCATTTCATTTGCTTTGGTATGTAAATTATGTTGACTATGGGACTGCGGTAGCACGGACCAACAAGGTGAACAAAGCAAAAAGTGGTATATTTCGTGAGGTTTATATATAGATAGTATGTAAATTATGTCGACTGCGGGACTGCGGTAGCAGGATTTGAAAGTTCATTTCAGTTACGGGGTATTCTGAAGTTTAGCTAGCAAAAGAAGTCATCGTTCGAATAGGGAGTTCTTTACATTTTCATAGAGAGAGAGATCTGTTCCTTTCTTCAAGTAAGAATAGTGATCATGTTCACAAGCATTTCAATCTAGTTGAAGTTATTACGTAAATAAAGGTCTACGTTCTCGCCGTTGGATCTTATTGAAAGTGACATGTGAAGGTGAAATGTCTTATCAGTATCAATTAGTACACCTTTTATATTGATGTTTCTCACTTATAATTATTGTGCGAAATGACCTCTAAGAATTGTGCAAACGATCCAAAACTTGTGCTAAAAGACTTGTGCGAAAAGTCTTTTGTGCGAAATGTCCTGTATTTGTTTTGAAGTGTGTTTTCCTGTGAGATTAAAGCTAGTACTGTGTTGTTCTGTTGACTTCAGATTGCTTTGATGTACTCACAATTGAGTTAAGCTTAAAGGACAGATATGGAATTGGTGAGGTGACATGCCCATCCTCAAGGTTTCAACTGAGTCCTCTAGATGCTTTTGATGATCCTGGCTTTTTTATGGAAAACAAAGATGGTAAACCCTTTTTAAAAAGAGGATATATCTATTTTGACCAAGTTCAAGGGCTTATGGGCAAATCAGGTGCTCGGTGGTGTGACTTCATTGTATATACTAGTAAGGGACTGAGTGTCGAGAGGATAAAATTTCATCAGGATTTCTATGTGGAAAACTATGTGATGATGATGAGCAGAGTTTTTCCAACTTCTTGGTAAATTACCTAAGTCTGTCCAATTGTTAAGAGCGGAGATCACAAAGAGGCCAGTAATTACAGACCAATTTCACTATTGCCAATACTCTCTGAGGTATGCGAAAGAGTAGTATTGAACCAGCTGACTCTGCATCTAACATCTAGCCATCTAGAGAATATCAGTGAAACAAAGCTGCAACAAAAAATGGCACTCTACAGAAACATTGCCAATTTCTACTACTGATTCTCTTCCCACACTATCAACCAGAAGAAAATTAATGCAATTGTATATCTTGATACAAGTAAAGCTTTTGACACTACCACTTCCGTAATTCTTTTAAAAAACTGAAGAACATCAGTCTATCACCCTCTGCACTTCAATGGTTTGAAAGCTATCTTCCTCAGAGATACCAGGCAGTCCATATAAACTCTATTTTATCTGATAAATTACTAGTAGCCAGTGGCGTACTGCAGGGAAGTGTCCTTGGAGCATTGCTATTCATTATTTATGTAAATGATCTACCAAATGTTTGTCAAAATTGTTCAAATGCTTGCTACATGGATGACACCAAGCTCCTATTGTCTTTTACTGTGAACAACTCTGTTTGGATCACTGAAAGTGTTAATTCCAACTTACAACAAATTCGCATTTGGTTTTTCGATAATTATTTAATGCTTAATCCAGATAAGACGAAACTAATGGTTTTGGCAACAAAGGAATGTCTTCAAAATTACTGGACTTTAAATTATCCCTACTACAAAAAGGCATTAACCCAGCTCAATCAGTCAAAGACCGTGGAGTAGTTTCTGATCCCACACTATCTTTTGATAATCATATTTCTACTGTAGTATCTTCTTGCATGTTAAAATTATCTCAAATAAGCCATATTAGATTCGTTTTCAATAAACAACTGCTTGAAACCATAATAAATACGCTTGTTTTCAGTAAACTATATTACTGTTCATCAGTATGGTCATCCAC